TGCTAAGTGGTTGCCATGGTATCCAAGGTAGTTGCTACGGTGTTGCTAGATGGTTGCTATGGTATCCCAGGTGGTTGCTAAGGGACTGCTAGGTGGTTGTTATGGTATTTCAGGCTTTTGCTATGTTTTTGCTATGGTATCCCATGCAGCTGCTAAACTGTTGCTAGGCAGTTGCCATGGTGTATGAGGTGTTTCCTAAGTCATTCATAGAGAGTTGCTAAGTGGTAGCCACGTGTTGTTGAAAATGAAAGCGAGTCTATGAGAGGATGGAGGGATGAAAAACCAGCACATAGAGGAGTGTAGGTCAGTATGGCTGTGGATTAGAGCTTGAGGACCTGCACTGAGTGAGGACATGTAGTTTAGTGGCTGTCAGGCAAAGAAGTAATAGAGTTTGTGTGGTGGCAAAAATGAATGGGAGTCTATGGAAGAAACAAGGGATGGAAAAAGACAAAAAGATGAGTGCAGGTCAGAACATTGAATTCATGTTGGGGAACTGTCCTGAGATAGTGCATGCGAAATGATGTCTTTCAGTGAAGCAGAGGTACAGTACAACATTTCACCTGTTTCATTCCTATGGCAAAAAATTCCACAAAATTCCATTGCTACATGAAAACCGTTCATCCGATCAAAAAGCTGAATACAAGCCTGAATCACGCAATCAGCCCAGACAATCTGAAGTGGCGAACGGTGTGGGACGAGTTATGCAGAAAAAAAACCTGGCAGAAAAATAAGAACAATAAAAGAGAAGAAGAAGAATATAAATAGATAAAAATAGAGTTGCGCATTGCTTTGCACCCCGACTAGAAAAAGGCATTTCCAGAAGAACAATTCATAAACCAAACATTGTCACTACTCTCAGTCCAGCAGTGACACTGAGGTGTTTAAACACTCCAGCAGCACTGCTGTGTCTGATCCACTCAGACCAGCACAACACACACTAACACACCACCACCAAGTCAGTGTTACTGCAGTGCTGAGAATGATCCACCACCCAAATAGTACCTGCTCTGTGGGGGTCCATGGGGGTCCTGACCACTGAAGAACAGGGTAACAAAGTATGCAGAGAAACAGATGGACTACAGTCTGTAACTGTAGAATTACAGAGTGAACCTATATGGTCGGTGGAGGTCATAAAGTGGACAGTGAGCATATATACAAGGTTCCTAATAAAGTGCTCAGAGAGTCCATACTGCACAACTTACTTCATTAAACTAATTCAGCAGATATTAGACGACTCACTGCATCCTTTAGCAAGATATGCAACAAATCAAACACTGAGCCAACACTGGCTTAAGGGTGCAGCTCAAATTCTTCAAGTCCTTTGACGAAGCCCACTCACTTCCTGAGCTGCGAAGCTGTGGAGCTCAGCAGGCCCGTGCTAATTCTGCACTGAGGCTCTTCAATGACACGGACACTCAATCAGCACGTCCACAGTTTTCCAGATAGCACTTCTAACGAGTGAATTTAGCCTTCACAGTAGCCCCTTGCTGATAGAGCTTGTATAATCTCCATAGAAAGGCATTGACCAATAGAATGGGATTCCATGTCCAGTGCCAAATGTGGGCTAGAGAGGTATAAAGCCCCCCAGCATTGGGCTGTGGAGCAGTGGAACTGTGTTCTCTGGAGTGATGAAACTCCATCCAATGCCGTCGGGATGAGTTGGAGTGACCCAGAACTGACCATCCAACATCAGTACCTGACCTCACTAATGCTCAATCAAATCCTCACAGCAATGTTCAACATCTACAAGCCTTCCCAGAAGAGTAGAGGCTGTTACTGCAGCACAGACTCACTATTAACACCTTCATTCCAGAAGAAACTCTGAAGTCTTTAAAGTGTTTTTCCACTGCACAGAGTAACAGAATATTTGGCACCAGATAACTGGAACTGTGCTTTTTCCATTGGCCATCAGTCCAGTACCGAAGGTTCCAGTCTTATGTTTTTGGTGCCTGCTCAAAATTGGTACCAGCAGGACCAAGCAGTACTCCAAGGTGGTCTCTTCCAAATTTAGCCAATTCTTCACTCTTCCAGGTGAAGATAAAGTCACCAAACACTACTACATCACCAATAAGAGCTCCAGAGTGTGAACCAGAGCGGCATGTTGATGTGTCGATTTATATGTTTACAATTATGGCTTCATAAAGGGGACATAAGCTAGAAGCTAGTGTTGTTAGCATTTATGTATGTGTTTTTAATAACAATTTCATACTCGACAACATATAAGAACATATAGGCTGCGTTTAGACTGCAGGCAAATCGGATTTCTTAAATCAGATCTTTTGAGTTGACTGTCCACTCTGTTATTTGTGAGTGATCAGATTTGTGTGTCCAGACATCACCACTCAATCTACATCTATTTCCATAGTAACAACGCAGGCGTCACTAACTACGTAGCTACGCTGGTGACGCGGATTTCAAACGCGGATGCAGGAGTGTTATCGCCAATAACATCACGGCTGTGATGATCTACGCCGACCAAATCACAGCCCTGATGTTATTTCACGATAACACACTCCCTCTGTGTTCTATTGTTTAACTAACCATAAAGCAAAGTAGCTAATTGGCCAAATTAGACACTTTAGAGTGGCATAAAACAGCAAAAAGACAACTGAATTATCAGTGTCTCTCAAGCAGGTGGACAATGAACTAAAACTACAAGTAAAACTGTTCCTTTTGGTTCATGTTTATAAATGTGCAATGGAAGAAGTTCCCTTACTGCTCATCTGATCAGCTGGTGTACAGGTAGAGACTGTAGTCCATCTGCTGAAGCACAGTTAGCCATCCGCCAACACAGAGGTCTGGATTTTTAATTGCTGCTAGCAAACTGAGCAGTTAAAGTAACTGACTGGCCCCCTAGAGTCACACCCACCAGAAACTGGATTTAAAGTCTCTATTTGGTCTGATTCACTCGCACCAGCACCACAAACACCACCATGTCACTATTTCTCAGTGAACGAGTTCTAGAGGGCAGAATCAGAATTCTACCGAAGCCTGCGGGCAACCTGACCCACATGAATAAGAGTGTGACATAAAAGAGAGAAGGAAAAAACATTGATTTTCTTTCACAAAGCCACGTACACATTGATTGAGTGTCTACAGCCTGGAGGCACCGGACTCGCAGGATTGATTTCTATAAATTATACATAATGAGATTGTCCTGAGAGCCCCTGTGGCTCATGCGAGTGTGGCCTCCGTGCGGGGCCTTAGCAGTGAAATTATATTTGTTTTGTATCTTTATCACATCCTAGCGAATCTGAAATTCTTTTTCATGCATATAATATTGTATTTATATAAAAACATACATTTTTAATCTCTAACAACACACAATTTCTGAGCGGCACGTAGAATGCATACAAAAATTGTTGGACAAAAACACAGGAGATGTGTGTGTGTTGGGGGGGGGTCAATGACAAATAAGCTTTTCAAAAATGACCATTTCAAAATCTTATTAAAAAGGGACATGATGTGCATTTTATACCTGCATATATTTCTGCGTTTATATCTATGTGCATGTTCTATCTATAACATGGCTGGTTGGTTTCTTCATCTGACTGACTGGTTGCACCGCCTGACTTTTCAGACTAATTTCAAATTAAAGAGGCATCTATACCTGTAGAAACCTTTAACCTTCAACTTGAGTTGATACTTTAATTTTAATTTTTTTTTGAATAAATAAACATTATTATAATAATTCCACATTTTCATGGTTCTCCTGAGGTCAGAACACCTGACATGGTAAACTGAACCTTTCTGACCATGACTTTGTGACCTTGGCATTGCACTTGGTGTCTTCTTTATGATGCAGTACCTGGCCCATCTTTTGTAAAAGCTTGTCAAAATAAAAGTCCTTTGTTTTTGGTTGTGCCGTTTGACATTTGAGGAAATAAGAACTTGCAGACAAAAGTTTTTTAGTGAGTTGAACACTTTTAAACTCGTTGCACGTTTAAAACACTTTTGCAACATATTTTATTTTAAGGTTTTCAAACACAAAATCATACCAAACTATTTTATTTAGAATTTTATAACTAAATTACCTTTTCTGATAGTTTACTTAATCAACATGTATGGCTGGATGGCTGCACCACCCGACAGCCTTTGGAGGGAAAAAGAAACTAAAAGAAACTAAAATGAATTTTAAATGGATCAACTGAAAACTGTTTAACATTTAAAAAAGGTATTTTTGAATGATTTGAAAGATAATACATACTCTTTTATGACTACAACTTAACTCTCTCATTACTGCACCTTACCTGGTCAAGGTCATGACTTAATTATCTTGCTCCCACAACTTACTCAGTCATGGCCATGACTTAATTATCTTGTTCCCACACCTTACTCAGTCATGGCCATTCTTGTTTTATTATATTGTTCCTATGCCTCACGTCGTGCCATTAGTTATTATTAAGATTTTTATTTATTATCCTTTTTTTTGAATGACACAATCACAGAAACACACTGGGTTCCCTAAAGAACGCTTCAGTTCTTTAAAGGACTTTTTTCTACAAATGCATGACTGTGAAAAACATCACTTAATGTAAAGGTTGCCTATTTAAATTAAATTAACGGTTTCTAGAACCACATCTCAGTTAACTAAACATTATTTTTAATAATAATTTCCAGCTCTCTGGGGAAAACAAGCTAGAAACAATCCATCTTCCATGAACACACAGGTCTCCAAATGAAACCGTCCATTGCTCAAAGCCAGTTCAGTGTGGAGATTCAGTGCTACTATAAGCACTTTCACTTAAATTTCACATTCACTTCCCTGAAAACTAAAAATATGCCCTAAATAGAGGAAACAGAATGAGTTGATTTCAAAAACATGAACTTACTCCCACCTTGTGATGCGAGTATGAGTCCCTGCACATCTGTAATAATCATAATGATGCATGTTCAGACAAGCAGGCCTGATCCACTCCATCTAACACTGTTTTCTGTCTGGTTAACAGAGAAGTGATTCAGTGATATTCACATTATCCATGTGCTGTGCTCCTCTACAGCCAGGTCAAAGAGCATGGTGATGGGCGAGGTGTCCCGCGGCTCGGGTCCGTCTCCTTCGCCAGGTCTCCAGGAGGGGGTGCTGAAGGCTGGCTGGCTGAAGAAACAGAGGAGCATCATGAAGAACTGGCAGCTGCGCTGGTTTGTGCTGCGCTCTGATTACCTCTACTTCTACAAGGACGAGGAGGAAACTAAGCCTCAGGTACAGTAAGATCAAACACAGGGGGTTCAGCGTTTATCACACGTTTTTAAAAAAATCTGTTTTTCTCAGTGCTTTCTAAGAGGAACTGACTGAGTGTGTGAGATGTAAACAGAGTGACTCAGAGTGGTTTGGTGTGAAATGGTTCCGATGTCTTTACAGTGGTGGCGATAGGAACCAGGGGTCGCCATGACTACAACACAGATATAGCCATTTTATTTACTATCCAGAACCACCAGTGAACCTACATGAGTCTTCTGAGTTTATATGGAATGTTGATGATGGAAAATAGTGGAAAATCTGAAATAATAAGTTTTCTTTGGGGACTATTTTGCCTCACAGCGCCCTGCATGTATCCCTCCACCATGAATGGATTAAAAATATGTTTTAAGACCAAAACCTTCTTAAAAATTTGACAAAACAGTGTCTCAGACATCAGCATGTGTATAACTGTGTTCAAGTATGAATTACAGGTAACACCTCCAATCCTGTATTCACAGTGATGGGTAAATGTATTCATAAGACTTTTTATGGCCTGCATAACACCTTATGATGCCCGGCATAAGCCTGTATAATTATAAGTAGTCATAATTTCATGCATAACACATTATAAAGCAAGAGAATACGATTAAAATGTTATGAGGTAAATATGAATGTTGTATTTTCTGTGTAGCATCCAGAACAACTGCTACCAACTGCAGCACTCTGTGACATGCAGCTGAGCCTTTTCTGAAATATTCATAAAAAAAAACAATTCTTATGTAGTTTAAATTCAGTAGAGTCATTTTTGTTTAGCTAGCTGGTAACTGTTGGCGAAGATTTTTAAGAGAAGCTTGAACGGCAACAAATGAATGGATTACAGACCAAATCGAGCCTCACCTCTCACTCAAAGCCCAGAGAACCAAACTGAAGTTCTTATTTTGGATACATTCTGAGAAGAACCAGTTAAATGGAACAGACCATGATGCTGGGAAGAGCTGAATGTAAAAGAGGACAACCAGCTACAAGATGGTTGGAGACAATCAGAGAAATCATAAACCAGCCATTCAGAAGCTGAAGACCCAAACAGAAGACAGAACATTCTGGAGAAACGTTGTGGTACCTGACTTTATGAAGTCATATACGCTTCTGTATAAAGTGTTATGCACATTATTAATACTACATTCTTAAAAAAGATGGTTCTTCAAAGGTTCTTTAGTAAAGAAAACGGTTCTTTATAGGACCATGAGCACTCAAAGAGCTCTTTGATTAAAGGGTTCTGTGCATCATGAAAGGGTTCTTCAGACTGATGGAGAATGTGTTGTTGAATGTTTCTATATGGAGCCTTTTTTAAAAAGGCTCTACAGCATCGAAAAGGGTTCTTCTATTGTTAGGAAGCCTCACCACTCACTCGATCCCAAATATCAAGATTGTAACAATAGCAGTGTTACGGGACGGCAGGGAGGCGGACCCGAGTGCAGAGAGGAAAACTCGTGAGAAAGGGTCTTAAATGAATTTAATGAGGTGATGGAGTGTGAATTTGGTGATTGTGCACGTTGGAGCTGAGGTGGCTCAGAGCCAGGCTCAAACCAGTACAATGGCGGTCCGAGGAGTTACCCCTGTGCCACTGGGAAGCACAGGCGACAACGGGAAAAACACCTCAACGAATGGGAAATAAAAAGGTGGGAAAAAGGCAAACAAAGGGGATGCTGAAAGCTTCCTCTGTAATTATGAGAGGAAGATCAGCTTTATGTTTCACCCGTTTGTTCTTTGTGGAGCAAACACTTTGTTTGGTTTGGAGCCGCTTCTTGTTCAAGCCTTCTTTTTATCTTTTAAGTAGTTTTGGGGCAATCTCTCTCTTTTGTTTTTCCAGCCCTCTTTTCTTTTTCCATTTCTTTTTGTCTAAATACCCACCTGGGTTAAGTACCGTACCGGTCACCCTTCTACAAAGCTGTGACAAAGGGCTACTGTTTGCCACAGCCTTAGGTAGAGGAGTCATCAGGTGTGCAAGGTTGGGCCTAATCAGCCTGAGGGCTTCTGGGAATTGGAGTTCCCTGAACTTGTGGCAACTCGCCACCGTCGCCCTTTGCTGGCGGCCGGCAGCACAGGCTGTGCCCTTACAAACAGAACACTTTTGGGTGCTATAGATAACCCTCGATAAGTCTGAAGAACCATTTAATCATGCAAAGTGCTCTTTGAGTGTTCACGGTCCTATATAGAACCACTTTCTTAACTAAAGAACCCTTGAAGAACCATCTTTTTTAAGAGTGCATTTAAAAGATATTACACAAGCATATGCCCAGTATTATAAGGTGCCACATAACAGCTTATACATTTATTTATAATGCATTATGGATGCAGGATTCATAGAAAGCCTTACCCAATTACTTTGTTTACATCCATTTAATTATGCAGAGCTTTTTGAATTCACCTTTAAGCTGTTCCTGAAGCTGCTGAAGCTCGTTATGGGATGTGAGAGCCATTCTCTGCAGACTCCTGGAGAACTGTAGCATCTGCAAGACGTCTAGCACACATTTAAAGTACATGGACAGAAAGATCGTTCACCATTTTCACCAAAATACAGACAATAATTTCAACAGGATACTGACAATTTTCTGCCGGTCAGTCAATATCATACATTTATATTAAGCTCTCGGTTCGGGCTGAAGTGTGATGGACAGCTTCACTTGTCAGCCCATCAATACTCGTCACAATTGATCCGTCTCTGTGCTTCGCTCTCCAGGGAGCCCGAAAATGTCAGCCTGGCCTGCTTCTCCTGCCTTTAATCAATGGAGATTCAAAGCAGCGGCGAACTGTGTAGGCAAATCACACAGCAAATCACACGCTGGGATGAAAGGATGCGGAGGAGGCCGGATCGTACCGAGAAGAAGGATGTGCAGATATTTTATTCACTCCATAATGATGAGAGTCGTTAACAGCTCAAAGAGCAACAAACCCAAACCAAGCAGTTGATCACATTTACAAATATAATGAAATTATTCTAATTAAACATAATAATCTGCTTGCGTCGATGCTATAAATTGCCAACCACATTAATAGGAACTGAATAATTTATCACCTTAGACCAGACGTCCTTCACCAGCAACCACCAGTGAATGAAACTGTAATGTGCTGCGCTCAGTGATGTTAACCTGCTCTGTCCATCACAGTGATGAATGGCTTGATGTCTTCTGGCTGCAGTGCTGCTGCTAAATCCAACGGTTTGTTGTCATGGTGAATAATCTGGCCATTTCTTTCACGGTTCAGCTTCCTGGAGGAGGCACTCAAGTCAGATAAGCCAGTAGCGCTTTCTCTTACAGTATCTTAAAGGGGAATTCCACCATTTTTTCCAATGTTTTTGCATATATAAATGGTAAAGATGTGAACACAGTGGTTTGAGAGGTGGTGATAGGAACCAGACGTCCACCTCTAAAAGCTCCCTCACAGAAAGTTCCTACATGAAATGGTTATGAATTCACTGCCTGATGACTGAGACACTGTTTTATGATAGTTTAGAGAACTTAAACTCCTTCATGGTGGAGGGATACATGCAGGGTGCTGTGAGGCAAAATAGTCCCCAAAGAAAACTTATTATTTCAGATTTTCCACTATTTTCCATCATCAACATTCCATATAGACTCAGAAGACTCGTGTAGGTTCACTGGTGGTTCTGGATAGTAAATAAAATGTCTATATCTGTGTTGTAGTCATGGCGACCCCTGGTTCCTATCACCACCCACTGTAAAGACATCTGAACCATTTCACACCAAACCTCTCTGAATCTCTCTGATTACATCTCACACACTGAGTTATGGAGGAATTTTGATTGGATGAATTCCCCACTTTAACCTCTACCTATTAAATTTTAGCCTGTTTTTAAGCCCAATTTGGTCTGGATTTCAATATTGGGCCAAATTTCAGCTACATCATCCATCATTTGATGTGCAGTGTGAGGGGAGGAGTGATGCCTGATTAATTGCCCAAATGAGCTCAGATTGAGAAGACCAGTGGATTTCTGCCATGTCCAAAATTTTGGCTGCTTGCCTTGCAGTCTGAGTGCAAAGTGACATAATACAATCCAATAACATCAACAAATGCATCTGAAAGATCAGCGATTTGTTAAGTTTGAGCTTCATTTTATCCACCGCAGGGATGCATTCCACTCAAGGGCAGTCAAGTGAACGAGATCACAGCCAATCCCGAGGAGCCTGGCCGACACCTGTTTGAGATTGTCCCAGGTAAGTGATAATGATCACTGTCCAAAAGCAGCAGAACCTGGATGTTCTATGAGGAGTAACTGAGATGTAGGAGGTGAGGGAGCTTGGGCTGGAGCTCTGGGGCCGTATTACAGAAACCTCCTCTCTTTTAGTCCTAAGTTAAGTTCTGACAGGTCAAGATAAGATGTTTCACACATTCGTTTACAGAAGCAAATCTGACCTTAATTTAGGAATCTTATCTTACAGCGTCTTATCTCCAGTTAGGAAATCTTAAACTACTCGATCCAAGTCGACAACCAACTGTCATGTCTGTTGCCTAGCAACCGACCATGCACATACAGCTGAAACGTAAACACGTAAACAAAGCAATCAAGTTAGTTAACCAGACAGCTACTTACAGTTACTGATGTAAAAAAGGTCAAACCGAACTAAAGTGTGATAAACTGTAAGTTGTGTCGCCGCTGCCCAGTCTCAGTCTCCATCCACGTATATATAATGAGCTTCAAAACTCTCCTCAAGGAGGCCCAGTATTATCTGATGTCAATGAGAACCCTAATCTAGTCTGAGATCCCCAGCCTAAAGCTGTACTGTTCTAGTGGGTTCTCTCGATTTCCTCCCTGTTTACTGTAACTCACTGCTGCACTGTGTGTGCTGAACAAAGCAAACATGGCACAGCAGTGCGACGGACATCAGCTCTCAGAGGCTGATGGGGTGAGTTTCTGAGGAAGCAGTGAGGCGGTCCGCACTGTGACCGAGGGCTTTTATAGCAGATCCCACAGAGCCGAACTAAGGCTCAGATTACAGCCGTGCTCTGTAACTACACCCGTCACTCAGGTAAACATACGTCAACCTGCACACACCCCCCAAATCCTCTCACTGTTTACAGGATATTAAATTCACTCATTGAACTCATAAGAAGACGCCTTACAAGCTTTCCTTCTTCTTTTCTTCACTAATCAGATTAAGTGTGGGGCTTTTTCATTTCTCAGCACGTGAAAGAGCAGTTTGGGTCGCGACGGCGTAAAAGCAGAAAGCACTGCGGCTCAAACATTAAAACAGAAACTGGACAAACAGACCCACCTAAAACATACATAAGTTTAGTGGTAAATTAACAGATAATTTAGTAATAATAGTAAAAGAAAAACTTTCGAAAGAAGTGCTTGTTTGATGTAAAATTGTAGTAAACAAATAAAAAGGAATATGAACAATTAAACATTAAATATGAAGAAACTGGAATAAAATAAACAGAATGAGAATAAAAAATAAGAACAAAACAGGAAACAGAATGCTGAGCTAAATAAAAACATTTTCAGCTGCTTTTTAAAGCTGGTTACAGAAGATTTCCAGATTTTGGTGTGCTGCTGAAGAATGAAGGGTTTCCGCGATGATGGTCAGTCCTTAGTGATTTCCTGAGTGTCCATTGGTCAGTTTCACACAGAATGTAGATGGACACACCAATCCACCAGCTCCACACGGTGAGAGGCAGATGACGTGTATCTCAGCCCCTCTTCATAGGCTCATAACTCTGGATGTGAGTCTCGTATGATCTCGTGATAAGATGGAATGGAAAGGGCGACTCTACAGATTCAGGAAGTGTTTGAACTTCTGCACTGTATAATATCACAAAGATACACAAACACATACAGAAACACAGAATTTGACATGCGGGCATGTTTGTGGACCCCAGAGGCACAGACCGCATTTTAATAACCAGAAATTAGAAAAATATTATTGGGAGAAATACAAAATACCTGCTCTGGTTTTTTATCTGCATTCATTTCAGTAAATTGTCTGTATGTAGAAGACCAGCTACGCACCGTTAATGCAATGTCACGTGCTGAACTACTTTCTCCTGGTTGCTTCTTCTGGGTGGAATCATTCTAATCAGCCAGTTACATGACAGAGAGTTTGGGGTGGCAGACAGGATGGCCAACCAGATTTGTGGGGTAGCCGGTGCCACCACTGCCACCCCTCTGGCTACAGTAGTTTTATAGTCAGCTTTTCCTTTAATTTAATCTATGCATTATACCAAAGTAATATCATATATCAAGGCAGTTTCTCATCTTAACCATGTGATACCGATAAACATAGTTCATATATACATTGTATTCCATCAATATATTCACCTGACAGGGGAATTCCTAATGGAAAACTCATGTAAGCTCCTCGAAATCAATTATGTGCTAATGTGCCTGGAAGGGAACGTGTGTTAACGTATCAGTCCCAGTGCTACAGAGCTTTCATCTCATTTCACACTCTGAGAAGCTTTCAGGAGCCACGTAAATTTAATCCAGATCTATCAGTATTGAACTACCAGCATACGGTCACAAACACAGCTCCAGAAACGCAGGTCAAGCCCCTAATGAGCAAACCAGGGGCAACGAAAGGGGAATTCAGTCAAGACAAGTTTACAGGAAGGGAATTCCACAGATGTTTAAACATTATTTTGCATATTTCACTGGTTGAGACGTAAAGTCATTCAGATGTCTTTACAGTGGTGGTGATAGGAACCAGGGGTCGCCATGACTACAACACAGATATAGACATTTTATTTACTATCCAGAACCACCAGTGAACCTACACGAGTCTTCTGAGTTTATATGGAATGTTGATGATGGAAAATAGTGGAAAATCTGAAATATTAAGTTTTCTTTGGGGACTATTTTGCCTCAGAACACCCTGCACTTATCCCTCTTAACTCTGTTTAATTCTCACCAGTTACTTAGCAATTATTGGCTTGATAAGGCTTAATAAAAGTGCTACAAGAAAATATATATATTTTTTTTTTATTTATTTGAGCAATAGTTTTTGTTTATTTTATCTGCAAACATTACAGAACTATGTACATTGTCAGGGCCTGCCATAAGTATGGGCAGGAAGGGGATTAATAATAATAATAATAATAATAATAATAAACAATATAGTTTACAAAAACTGTCTGATTTACAAATGAAATAAAAAATAGTGGAAGGTGGGGCACAACCTAACATATTTGGGTTTTTGTGAAATAACTGTAAAAATATTTAAGCTGGAATAATCATGTTTTTATACAAGAAACATAAACATCTCTGCTACAAACTGCTCCTACCATTCAGTACAACTCCACCCAAAATGAGGGAACAGCAGAGTTCCAGTTTAGCCCATGGGTGGACAGAGGGTCAATTTAACACCTGCTAGAAAAGTCTGATCAATCAGTGCAAACAGAGTTGATTCAGTTTAATTAAACAAGATGAAGATTACAGTAATATCAGGTGATTTACACAAAAGGCTCAGTGACTTACATGCCCTGAAAACCCTCTTTGGATCTCTTTAAAACACTGAGAAATCTCTCTGAATTTTGGTGGGAGGCCACGGCTAGGAAGTGTGGTGATGTGGCCAGAAGCTCACGCTGGCTGACCTTCTATAACAGTGTAAAGGTCTGTGTTAAATTGTGCCCCACACTTCTCTAGATATAAAGAAAAACTCAAATACATCTTAGTCAACATTAATTCTAAAAGAAATGGTTCAGAGAAGTGACGACGTCTAACACGGTATTAATATATTACCTCTTGGACCATTTTGCTTTGCCACCAGTTTCTCCCCCATTGTGGCTCAAGTCATGAGTCTGTTTACTTGTACAAAACCAGAAACTGGCTTTGTTCGTTACTGAGGCGTGAGTGACGAGCACGGAGGGCGGTGATCTCTATAGATTTAAAAAACGCTGCTGGCTGGCTGGAATTTCATGCATCTGTGGTTGTCGGAGGCTTAAACCTTACGGAGCGTGACTGTGACCCTGAGGCTCACTGCCTGTGCATCTGCTTAACCCATACTGTACGCAACCCTGCTCTCAGTGGCCTCTACCAAGAAGAGGAAATGCTTTTAAGAAGGAAAGACACTAGCAGCTCAGGAGACCTGGTCCAACTGAGCCACTGGTCTGTTTATTTGTTTGATTACTTGTTTGTCCAAGGTTGGGGGGTTTGTTTGGACAGAGGGAAGGCCAGAGGAGATGGTCTCCTCAGTCAGTCAGTCCACGGCGAGAACGGAGTGAAGCTGGTGCTTTGGAGGACGAATGGACTGCAAACTGGTTCTTTGATGGAATAATGAGACCTAATTAAGGACTAATGAAGCAAATGAAGACTCGTTCTTCAGGTTTTGCGCAGCGAGGTTGTGGTTGAGCTCCTTGGCCAGCGTGACATGCAGCGATGTTGCGGCTGAGCTTCTTGTCTGCAGTGTCCGGTGCCTGTTCTGGGTTTGGGTCCGAGTGCTGCCCGTTGGACTGAGTGGCATGGTACTGCTGTAGGACTCGCCAGCGTGACATGGGGCAGGGCTGCTGTAAGAGAAGGAGGCGCAAACCACCAAAAGGTACAGTCAGACCTCTTAATGAGATCCTAATGATACAGTGGCCAGTTTAACAATGTTACATAACAATCTATTAATGTAATTATAGCATATCTGCTAAATATGTTCTTGCATTAGTAGGAAAGCATGGAGCACAACTTAACACGAGGTAAAATGAGGCACGGACTGTTTTGTAGTTAAGCAGCTTGCAGCAGAACTTGCCTATGGTCATCTTCTCGTCTTCCCATAGCAAAGTCATCTGTGAGTTTTCACAGCAGTTTGGTGGATATTTCTCCAGTTTCACCCTGAAGACTTGTCTTTGTACCAAAAATGAACTTCTTTCACATCAGCTTGAGGAGAGGGTGGGAAGTGGTTAACCGACTGATAGATATACAATCACAATTTATTATAATTTAGTGTTTTATGGTTGTTATGTTAGTGTTTTTCCTGATAAACAGTCTTAAACATGAGACGTTGTGATCAGTGATAAGCTGTTTACAGAGTCAGCTCTTTGAGGTGAACGCTGGGAGCAACTCACATTAAAGAGCTGAATGACTTATTTATTTGTAAATAAAGACAAAATAATGTGCAGATCTTATGATGCTGTAGCTGAAAATGACAGGACCCACTCTTGGATCTCCGTACTGGCTCTGCCACTCTGTCTTTATCACCTGCGTGGACTGCGTCTCCCTGTACTGATTGGTTTGTAGAGGAGCATCTGACGGTGATGTGTGGTCAGTTCGGCAAGCATAAAGGATACATTTTGGTATTTAAATGCAATTTTAAGAGACTTTTAACCTTTTCTGGGCCATATTATAGCTGAATATTGGGTCTCCTCCCCGTGAGCTACCGCGGCTCATTTTTGCTTCTCTCCCGGTTCTTTTTTCTTCTTCTGTTGTTTAAAGGGTGACAATATCTTGCCTTAACTTCCTGTAATCAGTCCAAACCATCCAAAAACAGTGTTTTCACACTGCAGATGAACCAAATCATGGTTCAGTTTGATCCAGGGTGAGACCATCTCTGTTGTTTGGACCCAATTTTGGTCCTTTGGTCCAGACTGAGGCACCTTTCAAACCTGCCATTTTGGTTCAGACCATACAAGGTGAGTGTGAAAGCACCCTTAGTTAATTAAGTGGTAGACCAAGTTTTATCAATAAATAAATCATTGATTGGCTAACTTCAGGTACAAGACTGCAAGTAAACGAAAAGCTTTTTGGGAGTCAAAAGAGTGACTCTCACCCGGTTGACCTGACCTCAGTGAAGAGCCGGAATGCCTGTCAGTAGCTGTGATGCTTGATGTAAACTCCTCTTAGTAGCCCATGAAGTGGCAGCTTGTTTATCTCTGTGCAGGGATTTCCTCCCGTCAGTTGTCGCTCCCGGGAATGATTCATCTCCAAAGGTCAGCTGGAGTTAATCTGCTCCGATCCGGAGCGTAATGACATTCCACATTATCACCACTCGCCATACTCAGCGTTCATGTATGTGCGCTTGTCTGCAGGAGCACACAGTGGTCTGTGTTTGTGAGATGTCCGTGCCTGACCGGCGGACCTACAGGTGCCTGAAATTCGCTCAGCCGAGGGGATGCAGCACAGTTGCGGCCCATTTTTCACATTCCTCCCTGCAGCATCAGTGCGCACTGTAACACTTGCCTGAATGCCTCACCTCGGTGGGAAATGAGCCGCCAGCTTCTCCATCTGCTTGGAGGGAACGTGTTACCTTCAGATGTCTAACTGCCCCGACCATCCAACAGTAACTTGGGTAGGAGCTGCTTCAGGCCCCAAGACACTGTATTATCACAGTATGTGAGACAAAAATGTAAGGAGCCCTGCTGGTGACGTCCCACATAAATAAAGATCATATGTGGCCAGGCTGTATTAACACTCATATTAACAAGCATCACCAACGGCTTAGTAAGGCGTGGGAATGAGATAATTAAGTCAATATAAACTCTCCTTCACATAAACTCGATCCTGCCCTCCAGTACCATTAGAATCTATTGGTGCCAATCTTGAGCTTTGTACCTAAAACCATACAACTGGAACCTTTAGAACTGGATAAAAGCACAGTTCTAGTTGTTCTAGTGCCAAAGGTTCCACTACTTTGTACATCCCAATACTCAGCACTTAACAAGTCTTCAAAATCATCTGCTGTCTGGATTTTATGCAGCCCTGCTGGTGACATCTCGTATAAATGAAAATAATGCTTGATCATGACTTAGTAACTTCTGGAGTCTTTTATAAGGAAAGCAGCGCCATCTGCTGGCAATAAATATACTCCTCCTGAGTAATGATTAACAAACAACAGATGATGAAACTAATCTTAACTCATCAGTTTACAGCCTTTTGTTATCAAGATTCTGGTTCTCTGGTGTTTTTGTTTATTATCTGTGTATTATTTTCAAATGTTAGAATACACACTTACACACACACTTAACATACACACTTATGCTTAGAAAATGCATAAGTGTGTATGTTATTATTATATAGAATTTCTTATTAATATAAATTATTTTCAAACTGCTTTTTTTCTGGACCCTGCTGGGGTTTATCAGATCAACATCTGTATACAGTTTATGACTGAGAGACTAAGACTCCTTCTGACTCCACAGTCCTGGTAGATGCTCACCTGTATACTCTAATGTCCTGCAGGTCTGGCTCTGACTCTGAACTGTACAAATACAGATGTGATGAGACTGACGTATTATTTTCACTTCTGTTCTGTTTCTCAGGCGCAGCTGGGGAGAAAGAGCGAGCAGCCGTCAGCCATGAGGCCTTTTTACTCATGGCCAACTCCCAGAGCGATATGGACGACTGGGTCAAGGCCATCAGACGGGTCATCTGGGCTCCTTTTGGAGGAGGTAAAACCAGAAGAGCATGCACGCGATGCTGATTTAAACAGAGTGGTTAGATCCCAGATTTCAGCTGACTTGAAAGCATTATTTACAAGCTTTTTCTCTCCATTCAAACTTATTATAAAGAAAGAGCCTTAATGTACAGAAACAACAGACTACAAACACCGAATTCTCTGTTATGTCTACCATGAGTGAGAGCTTATGACCTGTAATTTAGTGTTTATAGCTCATTAAGCCACTTTGTGTGTGTTGATGGAACAAAAACAACCATAATTTATTTCACATGAGCATTTTTTCAAACCTCTCTTTATCCCTTACAATTGAACAGGCTGCGCCTTTAAGACTAATGTATGTAAATGAGCTCTGTTTTGATTGGCTGCCTCTTTCAAAAGGCAGTCTGGGCTGAAACACTGCTTATAACTCCAGTGTAAATGGGTGGAGTTAAACTGCTGTAGGCTGAACGGGTGGATACATCTAAATGTGTTGTTTTTTGTGACATCACAAAACAACATTTCAAAACTTACATGTACTGTGTGGACTAGGGAGCATGTTCAAACCTTTAATAGTGTTTACATATTCTACATCACACTTATTATAAAATATATGGGACCTTTAAGCTCTGTCATTATAATACATTAATTATCAACTTTTAAAATGATTAATTATTAAACTATTAATGCAGACCTTATCTTTTGATTTTTATATTACAAGTTAATATAGTACGGAGTTACTTTTTTAGTACACATTAAGCCAGGGCTGGGCAAAATGACCATATTTATCGTTATTGTGATAAATTATGTCACAATATGTTTTTTGAGAATATCGTAGATATGATCAGTACTTCAAAATCACTTCCTAACTACATGTTTGATTACAAAGGAAGCATAATTATTCACATTTAACTGGTTTTAGTGCAGCATAGTTTGTGAAATGTTGAACAAAAATAATTGGCTTCATATTTTTTTCAAGGTAGTGCTGTAATTTATCTAACGTCGTGATGCATATGGTGTATCATGAAAACTTTTTATAGCTCTGTTAACTTTTTTTTTAACGTTTGGTGATTTAAAACTTCCTGCCTGTTAAAATTCAGGAGTCATTCTCACAATGAGTCCATAAATATTTAAGAGTCATGATGATTACATAAATAAACAACACACATATTTTAATAATTGATTGGAATGCTATATGAGGCAGATTTTTACATTAAAAATTAATAAATTATTTATTTTTTATTTTAAGGTTTTATAGTAAAATCTATTATAATTAATTTTATATGTCTTATTAATGTATGCTGCCTTCCGCCCAATGACAGCTGGGATAGGCTCCAGCACCCCACCGCGACCCAGAAGGATAAGCGGTTTAGATGATGGATGGATGTCTTATTAATGTAACATTTCTACAGTTCTGTCTCATTATTATTATTATTATTATTATTATTATTATTATTTAATTAGAAAAGACAAGTTATAACAAATAACATTATTGGCAGATTTTTCTTTTTCTAACTCTTCCACCATTGCAGTAATGAGATAATGAGAAATTGGTCATCTAAATTGGAAGATATTACTAAAAATCCATTAAAAATCAATGACATCATTCAGGTTTATATTCAATTACTCAGCATTATTGTACGGAGTCCACAAGGCCATGGATTTTTTTTTTTAAAAAGTACATTGAATTCTCATGTTTTGTGTTCCCTTTAAAATGTGTTGTAGCTTGTAAGATTTCCACTCCACCACCAGATGTCAGAAATGAGCCAGCCTGATATCAACCTGGTCACGTTTGCACCTAAACAACGTCTGTAGGTTCCCACATTAACACAACCTTTAACGCATTACAGACTCTTCTCTTTTATTTTACCTCAAACCTGCCGTTCCTAAACTCAGACACCAAAAATATCATCACACTTCCAGCGCAGGGTGTCAGGGGGCAGCCCCTCCCGAGATTAGGTTTCAAAGTCTATGTTATTAATAGCAGCATCATGAGATGTAAAGCTAACCCTGTTAAAGACATGGACCAATGAACCTCCCACGCCTGGAGCGCATGGAGGAGCGCTGTTCTCTCCACAGGGAAATGCAGCCTCAGGAACAATGAACTGCACATTTCTGATCTGGAGGCCGGCGGGACGATGTGGACTGAAAACAGAAGGATTTCATTTACATTTAAAGCAGAAGGAGAGGAAGAAATCTCTTGCTGTGGTTTCACAGGAAGGTTTGAGTTTCTCTCTCAGAAACTGGCAGCTCTGAGTGGCTAATATGATCACTGGAAGGTACAAATGGCTACATTTGGTGTTAAATATCATGACTTGTAGGCTGTTTGACTGTATGGTGAGCTGAGGACCAAGTCATTGGCACATTGTTTTAATGCTAATTTGCCAATTTACAACATAACCAACTACTCTGACACCAACTGGGCTGGCAGTGAGCCTCATGGCCTGTCACAGAATGGGACCCCGACAAGCAGAGACTCAAGAAAACAGAAAACAGGGCATTTTTGTAGCTGAGAAAAGGCTGTTCCTATGTAGTTCATGCTCCTCGCTGAACTACTACGATTCCTGCGCAGTATATGGACACTGTGACTGTGCTCCGGACGCTGGATGGAGAAATGCAGGTGTGAGGACGAATAACTGAGTGTTGTTTCAATGTGATACTTATAGTATTATCCCTATGGGTTTTATGGGTGAGGTCATCCTAATGCATCCACTGATTTCTCAGCATGTTTCAGTGTGTGAGATGTAATCAGAGTGATTCAGAGTGGTTTGGTGTGAAATGGTTCAGATGTCTTTACAGTGGTGGTGATAGGAACCAGGGGTCGCCATGACTACAACACAAATATAGACATTTTATTTACTATCCAGAACCACCAGTGAACCTACACGAGTCTTCTGAGTTTATATGGAATGTTGATGATGAAAATAGTGGAAAATCTGAAATAATAAGTTTTCTTTGGGGACTATTTTGCCTCACAGCGCCCTGCATGTATCCCTCCACCATGAATGGAGTTTAAGTTCTCAAAACCATCATAAAACAGTGTCTCAGTCATCAGGCAGTGAATTCATAACCATTTCATGTAGGAACTTTCTGTGAGGGAGCTTTTAGAGGTGGACGTCTGGTTCCTATCACCACCACTGTGAACAAAGCGTTTCACACCACATTCTGAACAATTCTGTTTACATCTCTGTCCTCTTTCCAACAATCCTACAGGAATATTTGGACAACGGCTGGAGGACACGGTTCAGTATGAGAAGAAGTTTGGTCCACGTCTCGCTCCTCTCCTGGTTGAGCAGTGTGTGGATTTTATCAGAGAGCGGGGGCTGGATGAGGAGGGTCTCTTCAGGATGCCGGGCCAGGCCAACCTAGTAAAGGAGCTTCAAGATGCTTTTGACTGTGGAGATAAACCACAGTTTGACAGGTACAACGAACTAACTAACCAAACACTGAACCAACCAAATAACCAACAAACTAATCACACAACCAACCAATCAAACAACCTAACCAACTAATCAATTAACCAAATAACCAACCAATCAACTTACCAACCAAACAATGAACCAACCAAATAAAATGTTAGGGTTCCAAAGTGAGAGGCGTGAAGCAGAACAGCAATAAGAATTATCCCAAAAAAAGGAATTAGGAGCTAAAAAGTTAATGACTGATGAAAAAGTTGGTTACTGCACTCACAGATATACTTAAGTGGAAGTAAAATTATTTCTTGAAAAATTCCTAAAAGTAAAAATCTGTCAAATTTTATTTTACTGCCAAATGCAGCCAATGAGATGAAAGTCTTTGCGACACTTTATTTGAATGCTATCCCAGGGGCTTTGGCTGGGCATGTAAAGATCCGGGGCTCAGCCCAATGTGCAGCAATGCAGCGATGTTGACTGGCATGTCTAATAAACCAAATCATAAATGAGTGACAAAACTATTTATGAAAAAAGTGTCAAAGCGTGTCAAAACAGATGTTTCTCTAATAATGCTGTTCATAAAATCCTCTGCGCATTTCCTCTCTCTCCACGTCGATTCTTCACTGTACAGGAGGCACAGGTCTAGTTAGGAAGGCCGTATATCAGTTCAGTGGAAGATTCTAATCCTTTCAAGTTAGTTTAAGGATCCTAACAGCAAGTACATCATTTACTTCATAAAACATCTTATGTCCTGCAATTTCTGCCCTAAACTGTAAAATATCACCAAATTATAACTGTTAATTTATGAACTAACACTGCAATAACTGCTTACAGTAACACTGATGTCCACACTGTGGCGTCGCTGCTGAAGCTGTACCTCAGAGAGCTTCCAGAGCCGGTCATCCCCTTCTGCAAGTATGAGGATTTCCTCACTTGTGCTCAGCTCCTGGCCAAAGATGAGCAGGAGGTAAGTGTGTAACTCTCAGCTGGTTCTGTGCTCAACAGGCTGCTAGAACATATGTCTACACCCAGTTAGCAACTACCTGGAATAATATAGCAATGCACTAGTAACACCACAGCAACCACACAGGATAGCATAACAACAGCCTAACAACAACATAGCAACAACCTTGGATACCACAGCAACCACCTAATCACCTTGGATACCATAGCAACAGCCTAGCAACACCATAGCAACTACCTTGGATACCACAGCAACAGCCTAGCAACACCATAGCAACCACCTTGGATACCATAGCAACAGCCTAGCAACACCATAGCAACCACCTAATCACTTTGGATACCATAGCAACAACCTAGCAAACACCATAGCAACTACCTTGGTTACCATGGCAACAGCCCAGCAACACCATAGCAACCACCTTGGATACTATAGCAACAGCCTAGCAACACCACAGCAACTACCTTGGATACCATAACAACAGCCTAGCAACACCACAGCAACCACCTTGGTACCATAATACCAGCCTAGCAACACCATAGCAACCACCTTGGTTACCATAGCAACAGCCCAGCAACCATAGCAACCACCTAATCACTTTGGATACCATAGCAACAACCTAGCAAACACCATAGCAACCACCTTGGTTACCATAGCAACAGCCCAGCAACACCATAGCAACCACCTTGGATACTATAGCAACAGCCTAGCAACACCCCATCAACCACCTTGGATACCACAGCAACAGCCTAGCAACACCAGAGCGACCACCTTGGTACCATAACACCAGCCTAGCAACACTATAGCAACCACCTTGGATACCATAGCAGCAACCTAGCAAACACCATAGCAACCACCTTGGTTACCATAGCAACAGCCTAGCAACACCACAGCAACTACTTTGGATACCATAGCAACAGCACAGCCTAGCAACTACCTTGGATACCACAGCAACAGCCTAGCAACACCACAGCAACTACCTTGGATACCATAGCAACAGCCTAGAAACACCACAGCAACCACTTTTGATACCATAGCAACAGCCTAGCAACACTATAGCAACTACCTTGGACACCTCAGCAACAGCCGAGCAACACTTTGGGATTTCATAGCAACAGCTATGACAGCAACTTTTTGTCAAACCAACTTTGTTCATGAACTTTCTCATTCTAGCTAAAATGATCACCATCATCAATATCAGTAATAATAAACATAGAAGACTGATAATAGGCCACTAATAAAGCGCATAAACAAATGATATGTAAATAAGGCACCAGTGCTTAGCAACATGTTCCCATGCGATAAAGCTGATACACCGATCGCAATCAAATCATTGATTGTTTAGATGTTGTCCGACAGGAATCAGTTGCAGGATAGTTTGTATGTCATTTGTACTTCACATCTACAACCATTTTTTATGCAACTTTAATAAAATTGGGCCAATGTGAGCATGAAATATGTGTCAGCCTTAACGAACAGTCTGTCGCCTGTTTTTACAGGGACTACAGGAGTTGGGGCAGCAGGTAAAGACTCTCCCTCCTGCGAACTACAACCTCCTCAAATATATATGCAAGTAAGTGCAGCTTTCAGAAGATCTTCAGAAAGAGACCCAGCTTCCTCTTAGCTTCTCACGCTAATAAACACCTGTGGTTTCAGGTTCCTGGATGAAGTTCAGTCACATTCTGCTGAGAATAAAATGAGCGTACAGAACCTGGCCACTGTGTTCGGACCAAACATTCTCCGTCCTAAACTGGAGGATCCAGTAGCCATCATGGAAGGTACGTTTTGGGAAATTCAGCACTCTTTACAGGTGAAACTGTGGCCTGAATACTTAAACAGGGGCTGGAGGAATTATGTAGACTAGGGGTGTCAAACTCAACCACTGAAAGGGCCATATTAAAAAAATCGCTGTGGGCCAGCTGTGTTTTTATTTCATTTTTACTGAACGTCTTGCCATTATCCCAACTGACCATTTTTTATGTTCAAAATATGCCAAAACTACAACAGTAATAATGATTATTTTTATTATTTTGCAAGTGGTCAATTGTGTTTTCTTACTATATCTTCTGAGTTTAGCCCACAGATCCCAGTATTTAATTTTTGATCTTACTATGTGGCAGTGAAGCTCCTAACAAGCCCTTCCCGAGTTGATGAGCAGGGAAAACACTAAAATGTGCAAGTCAGGGGGTACTCCAGATCCAGGACTGGTCCTCAACACTATAACTTTCTCCCTTACCTTTCACAGGAACCTCTCTTGTCCAGCATCTCATGACCGTGCTCATTAGCAAGCATGATCGGCTGTATCCTGAGCGAGACCCCGAGGCTCCTGAAGCCTGCACAGAGGTGAAATCTCAAGACCTGCAACCCCAGCAGTCCAACCTGGTGGGATGGATCTCTGAGGAGGACCTCCAAAGCCTCACAACCGCAGGGAAAAACTCCAACGCCAGCGACAACCCCACCAGTAGCAGTGCCTCGTCCCTGGATGGCAGCCCAGCAGGCCCTTCCTCTAAATCGAGCCCTCAGGGAAAGGGCGAGACGGCGGTCAGCCCCAGCAAACAAGCCAAGACGCTGCCTTCATGGAAGTACACCTTCAAAAGTTCCTCACCACGACCGCAGCCTGCCAAAATCGGTGGGTCGTCAGTAGACGTCACCAACGTTTCCAGTGGGAACTGGCTCATGAACGGGCTATCATCTCTGAGAGGTCACCGCCGCACCTCGACAGGGGAACGGGTCAGAGACTCAGGGTCATCCCAGAGACTGTCCACCTACGACAACGTCACATCGTCTTCGAGCCTGGGAAGCGCACCCAGTATAGACAGCACTCCGTGGTCCACCTCGTCCTGCGATATCTCTATCCCAGACTCAGGGAGTGACCACTTAGAGGCAGACTCTGGAAAGGATCGCTGGACGGAGCCGGAGGAAAACCTGACAGACACGGTGCAGACTGCAGACGAGGTGAAATCTATGGAGGAAGAGGATGCTAGTATCACAGTGGAGGAGTACGTCAGCAGTGCCTGCTGCAGCAACAGCAACGTGGTGCCAGTCATCACAGTTATGAACGAAGACGCTGATGAAAGTCCCCTCGTCACTGGTCAGTGTGGTGTCTGCACTGCGAGAGGAACTGAGGATCCAGAAACAGGCGTATGAATCCAGAATCAAAAAGTAAGAGTTATCATTTAGGCTAAGGTTGGGTAAAATAAAATGATCAGATGGCTAATTAATTGTGAAGCACATGGACCTTTTTGTGTTTGTTTGTGCATTGTGTATTGTTACACTGTGATAATTACAGGTATCGTCCAGGCATAATTCAGGCTAGTAATAGTAATAGTTCTTTGTGTGTTCATGGTTCTATATAGAACCACTTCCTTCACTAAAGAACCCTTGAAGAACCATACTTTTTAAGAATGTACCACACAGAAACTACTTTTCCTCTCTTCACAAAAGGCCCTACCCTTCCTGTTCATTAACATTTAACGATGTACTGTAATGGAATTAGACGTTTATTTGCCCTGACTGCATCTTTTGTTTTCCGTCTTCAGGCTGGAAGAGTCGAGTGCGGCGCTCTGTGCCCAGATGGAGAGGTTAGAACATGAGATGGAGCAAGAGAGAAAGAAGAAAAGAATGCTGGAGATCAAACTGCGGAACTCGGAAAGGGCCCGCGAGGACGCGGAGAACCGCAATCGGCTCCTGGAAAAAGAAATGGAGGACTTTTTCTCCACCCTGGGGGACCTGGCTCTCGGAGCTCGGACAAGTGATATTTAAACGAGCTTCTCCGTCTTAAAGATGTGCAGGAAAATAGCCACAAATGCCTCTGTGGTCAACTGTGGGCAGCAGTGGCTCTGTGTCACCTCAGGTCCCTTCGGACAGTGTGGGGGGATAATTCCATGTGTTCAATGGTGATCTTACGTTACTTGATTGTCTTGACGGGGACCTAAAAGACGACCGTACGAAAGGCCTCATTCATCCGGACCTTCAGTTTACGTATCACTGTGCATGTAAGAGCATCCACTTTTTACTAGGGATGCACTGATACAGAATTTCTGGGCTGATAACACTGTTCGCACTGATACCGGTACTGCTAAAAGGTTTACCCTACAATCTATGAAGTTTGTAGATAAAGGCCATTACACACCGAACGAGACACGAATAAACATGAAAACGTAAAAATTGCACCAAAAGTACACAAACCAGACGTTCCACTATTTTCCGAAAATAACGTAGGAAGATTGTCTTCAAGTAATAAAAGCAAATCCTTTGTTCCTCAAAAAATAGTGACATTGAGTGCAAAAAAAGAAAGTTCTTCAAGGGTTCTTTAGTAAAGACAATGGTTCTACATAGTACGAAGAATTCTCAAAGAACTATTTGCTTGCTTAAACTGTTCTTTGCATGATGAAATAGTTATTCAGGTTGATAGAGAATGTGTTGAATGTGAAATGGTTCTATATAGCACCAAAAAGGGTCCTGCTGTTAAGATGTCAAGCTTGCAACAATAGAAATGCTACACAGAACCATTTTCAAAAAGGTTCTACAAAGAACCATACACAACACATTCTCCATCTATCTGGAAAACCATTTCACCATGCAAAGAACCATTTAAGCATGAAAATGGTACTTTGAATGTTCATTGTCCTACATAGAACTGTTGTCTTTACAACTTTCCATTTTGGAAAGGCGAAAGGAGAGTTTCGCACTTTTTCAAACCTTGAAAAAATAAGTGGAGAAACCTGAGTTCTTCCAGACAGGTCCAGGACCAGATAACCTTAATTCTGGACCAAGATGCCAAGAGGAAAAGATCTCAGTGACTCTGAAAGAGGGTCTATTATTGAGGCACGGATGGCAGAAGCTTCAGAAAGACTGCTGAGCTGAGCCTCCAGTGTTTCAATAGGAGCTGTGACTAAAGTGACCTCTGCTTTTAGATCTGTGGCATCAGTCAACAGGGCTGGAAACTGGTGGAAAGAGTCTGTTCAGTTAGTCTGATGTGTAAGAACAGCTGCTCCTCAGGTGACTGAGACTGAAGATCTCAACCCAGTTGAACACCTACGGGAGATTAGCCCGCATTCTCCACCACCATCGACAAGACACCATCTGCGGGAATATCTTTAGGAAAACCGGTGTTCCATCCCTCAAGAACAGCTCCAGGGACTTGTAGAATCTATGACAAGGAGCACTGAAGCAAACATCTCACCACAACATTTTATATCATCTTTCCTTATTTTGTCTGTGATTTGGACACCCAGAACCCAGTTTGAGAGGAGTGAGTTCATCACCTGTGGAAGTTGGAAGGAATCGTGTTTGGTGTGTAAAGGCCTTAAGACAGGTTAAAACCCAAAGAGGAATAATTTATCATTCAACCCGGTGAATCTCCATTAAATACTAAATTAATTAATTAAATACACCGATCAGGCATAACATTCTGACCACCTCCTTGTTTCTACACTTATTGTCCATTTTATCAGCTCCACTTACTACATAGGTGCACTTTGTAGTTCTACAGTTACAGACTGTAGTCCATCTGTTTCTCTGATACTTTGTTAGCCCCCTTTTACCCTGTTCTTCAGTGGTCAGGACCCCCATGGACCCTCACAGAGCAGGTACTATTTGGGTGGTGGATCATTCTCAGCACTGCAGTAACACTGACGTGGTGGTGGTGTGTTAGTGTGTTGTGCTGGTGCGAGTGGATCAGACACAGCAGTGCTGCTGGAGTTTTTAAGCACTGTGTCCACTCACTGTCCACTCCTTAGACACTCCTACCTTGTCAGTCCACCTTGTAGATGTAAAGTCAGAGACGATAGCTCATCTGCTGCTGCACAGTTTGTGTTGGTCATCCTCTAGTCCTTCATCAGTGGTCACAGGACGCTGCCCACAGGACGCTGTTGGCTGGATATTTTTGGTTGGTGGACTATTCTCAGTCCAGCAGTGACACTGAGGTGTTTAAAAACTCCAGCAGCACTGCTGTGTCTGATCCACTCAGACCAGCACAACACACACTAACACACCACCACCACATCAGTGCTACTGTAGTGCTGAGAATGACCCACCACCCAAACAGTACCTGCTCTGTGAGGGTCCATGGGGGTCCTGACCACTGAAGAACAGGGTAAAAGGGGGCTAACAAAGTATCAGAGAAACAGATGGACTACAGTCTGTAACTGTAGAACTACAAAGTGCACCTATATAGTAAGTGGAGCTGATAAAATGGACAATGAGCGTAGAAACAAGGAGGTGGTCAGAATGTTATGCCTGATCAGTGTAAATCTGACAAAACAATTACTGTAAACATCTACATAATTTTATAAAAACAACATCAGTTACTGGCTGTTCTGGTATCAGAATGACAATAATGAAACTTCACATTTATCAGAAAATAACTGGCCACTGATGTATTGTGTACAGTCTGATTTACATATCGATTGGCCAATAATGCCGGACGAAATTTACAACAGTTTTATCAGTACTGGCAAAAATACTGCCAATGATGTGCTGATAATCAGCACCTTTTTCCAAATTACTCTTTAGCATGAGAACAACACAAAACGTTTTCTATAAAGAAAACCGATCAAACAAGAAACCGAAACCGCACACAGAGCTCTAGTCTCTACATTTAAGACAGAGTTTCTGCTGTTTGAGTTTAAGAACTATGACAATTGACGATTTCAATATGTAAAGCGCTGTTTTACTAAAACTGCTGGAGTATAACATTAAAAACATTAAAAACTTCATTGGAATTTTCAGCCTCTTAAAATCTGTATCAGTCACATGTTCAAATCAGTCAAGCCCTAATTTTGCGCGCTCTTAGTTTAGTCTGACCGAGAGTTTAAACTGCCAACTAGCGCAGCCTTTACAGACCATTCAGAACCAAAGGTTCTGGTTTCAGGACATCGCAGTAGGAGTAGTGAAGACAGTGCCTTTGTGGAGGTCTTACGTTGAAAAGCATAACGTGGCTTGCTCGACTAGAATAGCTCTCAGTTTCGGAACCGATGATTGTCATTTGATGTTTGGTCATATTCTATGAGATTGATATGATTCATGTTATGAAAAGTCATGGGATGTTATTATTCTCAGAATATATGAGATGCTTCAGAAGGTAATATAATGCTACAAGAATGTGTGTCCGTGAAATGATGTCACTGTGTTGTTGGACAGGCCTTTTTCATTTATTTTATACTGTGCAAAAATGTACTTTAGGGACGCCTTATGAATGTTTCATGTTTCTGTGGTAGATTCCTAAACGCTGGACACTGAAGTGATCTTTTAACAGAGTAAATCCCTCTTTCAGTGAACTCGATACTCAGTCCATGTTTATGAACCCGTATAAAGTGGAACTGACCACTTTGAAAAGTGGGTAAAGGCTGATTGCATCTAAACACTTGGGTGCTAATATGATGCTGCTAATGTTTAACCTCCTGACCAAAATACGAGGCCTTCAGCTGGAGCCTGTCGCCACTTTCCACAGTTTTTAGATATTTCCAATTATATTTTCAAGAGTAGTTTTAACATCTGTGCTATACTACAGAACTTACTACACCTATATTGAGAATATGAGGGTATTATAACAATTGATCTGAAGGATTCCTTGATCAGTGTGGTGCTACGTAGCTGAAAAGAACCCATCAATAAACGTAAAACTGGACATTTCATTCTGTCCTGTTCTTTTCTTTTTGAAAACATAACCTTGTTGTTGTAACTTTGTGACGCACTACACCACTTACATTTAGCCATTCAACACACTCATCTTAATTGTATTACAAATACTAACAAAAGTAAACGTATAATACGTACACTGACCAGCCACCTCGTTTCTACACTCACTGTCCACTTTATCAGCTCCACTGACCATATAGTTTCACTCTGTAGTTCTACAGTTACAGACTGTAGTCCATCTGTTTCTCTGCAAACTTTGTCACCCTGTTCTTCAGTGGTCAGGACCCCCACAGAGCAGGTACTATTTGGGTGGTGGATCAGGACGCTGCCCACAGGACGCTGTTGGCTGGATATTTTTGGTTGGTGGACTATTCTCAGTCCAGCAGTGTTATAAACAAGGTCTTCAGAGGAATTTCAGAGAATCCAGAGACACGCAAACAGAAGAAACACAAGACACGATTCAAACAGAAGTATTTATTTGCAGTACATGTCTTTTTTTCAACATTGGCATCTTGAGATCCCAGTGCATTTATTCTAGTAGTGCACGTCTCGTTGGCTGTGTGCAGTAATGTGCACACCGAGCCGGGAATTCTTAACCGTTTGCAGGGCCCGTATTGCTAGCAAACACTACAAACCAGCTTATACGAGTTGTTTTTTTAGGCGTTCACACACCTCTGCCGAGTCCCAGTTCATCCGTTTTTTTTGGTAAGTTAACTCATTTAAATGCATTACAAAAAAAAAGGAAATTTGTGAATTGAAGTAAATGGAACTGAACAGACAGTACCAAACAACGTGGGAACATAGAGCTAACATACTGCAGCTAGAGAAACATACACCTACGACCAAGCACAGACAGCAGAGGGTATTGCACATGAATTATAAAAAAAAAACAAAAAAACAAAACAAAAAAAAATTACATTTACATTACAGTCCTTTTATTTCTAAGTGAAATATACATACTGTACAAAACTAGACGTTTCCTACTATTGACAATAGTTTACTTTCAAATAAATAAATAATGGAATCTGTATTAACACATTCTCAACAACTAACACATGGGCAGCTAAATGTCCAAGAGCTTGTAGAAATTTAGAGTGAGGTAGTTCATCAAAGTCTACTTTAATTAGGATTATAACGTAATCATAATGTGAGAACTGCAATCGTGAGATCATACAGGAACAAAAGATCTGAAGTCAGACGCTGTCGAGGGCTAAGAAAACATAAGAGCACTTAGAACAGAATTGAGGAGACGAACAAAAATCTAATCGCAAAAAACCTTTAGAAACTAATAACTTCGTTATTGACGAATACAACCGTGTTGGCCAGCCGTTCCGCATTCGGTTCCTTTTCGAAGCTCCAACGTTCTCCACCAGCCACCACATGCACAAACTCTCAATAACCTGTTGCTTTACCTTCCAGAACGAAATTTCGCTTTCTGACATTAACATTAGCACAAATTCCATGTTGTTCAAATTTTCTGCATAATTAAACAGTTAAGATGTGAGTGGTTTGGTGTGAAACGCTCTGTTCTAGACAAACGTCAGAACTGTTCACAGTGGTGGTGATAGGAACCAGACGTCCACCTCTAAAAGCTCCCTCTCAGAAAGTTCCTACATGAAATGGTTATGAATTCACTGCCTGATGACTGAGACACTGTTTTATGATAGTTTAGAGAACTTAAACTCATTCATGGTGGAGGGATACATGCAGGGCGCTGTGAGGCAAAATAGTCCCCAAAGAAAACTGATTATTTCAGATTTTCCACTATTTTCCATCATCAACATTCCATATAAACTCAGAAGACTCGTGTAGGTTCACTGGTGGTTCTGGATAGTAAACAAAATGTCTATATCTGTGTTGTAGTCATGGTGACCCCTGGTTCCTATCACCACCACTGTAAAGACATCTGAACCATTTCACACCAAACCACTCTGAATCTCTCTGTTTACATCACAATCACTGAATTTATCCAGAAACAAATGGAATTTGACTTTAAGTAAAGCTGAACACCCTGTACGACCACTGCTCTCAAACCTCTGAATTACTTTGATGAAAGACCTTGCTAAAAACTGCCCGAAAAAGCGTAAAAATCAAAGAACCATAGACGTCATGTTGAAGTATGCTAGCATCCCAACAGCCTTCGAATTCGATTGGTGATACAGCCTCGAGAAATGAACTGGCTTCACCTCATTTTCTCCTCTCATGAGTTATTTGCGAATGAATATTCGACCCAGGCACTTTATCCTTTAATAAGCAACATAAAAAATATCCCTTTAAAAGAAAAGATACCACTATTGCATATGGTTTTAACACTGACCTGTTTCATTTGGTTGTGATAGTGTAGTTGCATTCAAAGTATCAAGCATAGGGGTGGACAGTCAAAGAGCATGCATACAAGTCCACAGACAGACTGCATTATACTGGAGTTACTCTATATTACAATTATTGAAAGCTGGTTACTGGAAGTACAGTGTGTGTTGTGCTAAACTGTATGAAGTCATGGTAAACACAGAGTTTCAATAGAAAAATATTCAGGGCAGTCCTTTCAGGGTCAGCTTGTAGAATACCATACGTGTCCATCCATGTAACCATATTCTGCCAAATAGGGCCGTCATGGTCAACTGACTTTAAAAATAATCAGATTTACAGTGATTAGGTGGGAATTAGAAGGATCATAATGCATGTTCTGAATTCTCAAGTCGCTTATAGGCATGTCTCAACTATGAATGCTGATCACAGTTGTTAGCTTTCACAATCATTTAAGTGCCAACAAAGAAAACAGGACCGTTGGCGCATTTTCATCTGTTGGTTTGAAGCCAATTCATATAAATAAAAGAAAGCAAAAACTGCATTTACTGAGACACGCCAATTCTGACTGGTGCTATGGCGCCTTTAGAGGGCGGCGGTGAGCGACATTTGTTAAAATTGCCTTTAGAGGGTGGCAGCAAGTGATGTGTGTTTATTTGATGTTTATTTGATGTTTGTTAAAATTGCCCTCAGAGGCTGGCGACAAGTGATGTGTGTTTACTTGATGTTTGTTTATTTGATGTTTGTTAATGATGCCTTTAGAGGGTGGCAGCAAGTGATGTTTGTTTGTTTGATGTTGATGATAAATTTAGAGGGCAGCGACTAGTGATGTTTGTTTATTTAATGTTCGTTAATGACAAATTTAGAGGGCGGAGGCAAGTGACGTTTGCTTATTTGATGTTTGTTAATATCGCCTTTAGAGGGCGACGGTGAGTAACGTTTGCTTATTTGATGTTTGTTAATGACACCCTTAGAGGGCGACAGTGAGTAACATTTGTTTACTTGCTGTTTGTTAATGAAGCCTTTAAAAAAACGAGCCTAACAGTCAAACCCATATAGATGCGCTATTTGCCACATTTATTTTAATGATGTTTATTTAAAGGACTCCTTATTTATCCTTTATCATACAGCACCTTTTTTGTTGTTTGGCATCAAGATTATAGCAATCATTAGATTAAACAATTACTAATATAATTGACCATGACAGCCCTACTGCCAAATCATCGCTCCAGTTCATGTTTATTGTCCTCTGTACGGCATTTTGCTCTTTCTAAATTCACACACTTTCCCGCATCCATAGCAAACCATCCAACAGCAGTGCTGGGCTGCACACAGAACTAAATAAAAGCAGAACTACAACCTTGAAGTTACTCCTCTTTAGATTTTAGCTTTAAAAATTGTAGTCGATCAAATTGTTTCTCTAATGTCGCTGTATTATTCTGAGTACAGTATGAAGTATTGTATCTTTCACAAGAGTCAAAGAGAGGGAAAAAAAATCAGTAGCTTAAGGATTCTACAAGCATTTGAAGATTTCCACTAAAGATAAAAGAAACGTGTAAATGCTTTATGACCTGATCTCCCACAAACACCAAGTAGCGCGAGAGACGAAGCAATTTGCTTATTATTAGACATCTGATTAGGCTGGAACTTCAGTCCACACAATCTGTACACCATCAACTAGGAAACAGCAACAGAACGGAAGAGCTCCCAACGCTGTGGGATCGTTCCAAGATGAATATGACCGACCGCAAAATCAAAAATAAAAACAACATCTTTAAAAATATATTTACCATACAATCTTTACAAATGACCTCAAACCGTGACCGTTCCACATCCGCGTGGCGAAGACGACGGCAGCTTCAGTCTCGACTCTAAGTTAAATTACGTGAACGCTGGTTTGGTGTAAAAGCTTCAAAGGTGCCCTCAAAAACTCTTACCTTCTATTCTGTCTTTTTTCCACTGACCTAAAAGAAACTGTCAGTCCGAAACGGAGGTGGGGCGACGGCGACGACGCCGTTCCGTGCCGGCCTAAACTCTACGCCAGTGGAGACGGGTGGTAGCTGGGATGGTGACAGGGACGGGGACAGAGTGATGGTCATCTGCAGCAGCCCAGCGGCCCGGCGGCAGAGGTTTCCAGACTGTTGTCCGTGTCCGAGGCCAGGGTGGGGTCGGTGGACATGGACGACGCATCGTTGGCGGATGAGGAGGACGTTGAGGGGTGCTGGGGGTCGCCAGTCACTGCTGCACCTGTGCTATGAGAAACAAGAGCACATCAGAACATCAGACTGGGAGCTGCTGTGGAAACAGAGCTCTGTTCTGAACGGCGCTGTCAGGAGGGGCGCTAGCGCAGCCTCGCCACTGCTCATCTGTAAAAACACTTTTACCGTGACCTCCAGCGCTGCTCCGTTGTATAGTGGAGGCAGCAAGTCTTTAGGATAAACAGATAAAAGCTTTTCGCCTGTTGTGAAGAAAAAAAAAGTATTCTTTTTAGCTGGAACAGAGTGAGATTTGTTTGCCAGCATCAAAATGTAACAAATTTCCCTGAATTCTAAATGATGATGTACATTTTATTTCATTAAATCTATACAAGAAGAGTCTAAAATGAACTCTAAAGGCCGAAACACACTGAAAGTGACGTGAAAAAAAAGGAAATGCAAAATATTCAAACACGGTTTTTCCACATCAAAACTACACACACCGGATTTTTTTTTTATTTCACCAAATTGTTCACTCTGCAACAAAAAGACAGGCAGAATATCATAAGAAGATCCTTTACTTCTCACCAAACAGGCAAACAGTGACACTGCGCAGAGTTTCTCCCCCTCATTCAGGAGCTCTTTCACTCACAGCTCTGATCTCCGTAAAGCCTTGGGTTCACTGCGACTTCTAAAGTCTTAACAGATTATAAAAAGACTGGGCATCTCACACTGTCACACTGGTTTTTGGAGATTTTTTTGGGCGACAAATCTTGGGGATCCACTCTACAGAACTTTTAAGCTGTTGCTGAACAGAACGGAACTCATTGAACTCATTGAACTCATGCTCATGCAGAAACTCTTGCGTTCTCCCGTTCATAGGAGACCCAAATAAACAGAGATGGAGCTGCTGCTGCTGTTTTCTCTGCCGTCTGCACTGATACAGTAAAGAAGCAGCAGGTAAACATGTTTAAGTGGATCATGAATTAAAAAATATGATCAGTTGGTATTTTCAGAGTTTTAAATGTACATAAACTCGATCGTGCCTTAAACTCAGCTCATTAAAAAGATTCGCTCCACACGAGAGACTTTTCAGGGCAGTTTCCTTTGTTTATTTGCTGTTTTTTTTTCTTTTGCACGCTCAGTTTTCATTGGCTGTTGCAGGAATCTGTTCAGATTGAGTCGTTGACCAGTTTTCACTAGATTACACTCAGAGTTGGGTTGAAAAAATGAAGACTGAGAATCGGGGGTAAAAGTCGTGCAGCGTGAAGAGCTTCATCACTTCATTCAGAAGCTGAAACGTTAAGTGATTCCACACAAGCTATAACTCAAAGCAATGGAGATCCTCATCCTTTTAGCGTTTGTGAAAGAATTCTATTGGCTGGTACACAGCTGCTCCGTCATCTTGGTTGTCGCCGTGCCAACAGCAGAGGTGACCATGATTGGTCAGCAAGTTCATGTCTTGTAGAAGTCTAGACTACTGTCACTTCATACTTACATTTCACAGCAATTTACATGAATAATTTCATTATTATTATTATTATATAATTAGTTGCATAACTATATTTTAACTTAATATACATCCTTCTGATTCCCATTAAGACATAAATAACTGTAAATAACATTCTACACATCTGTGAACGTCACACTAATGTTTAAACGTTTAAAATAACATATTCAATAATATAAAGGCAGTATGCTTGTATGTAAATGATAAAATGATTCCTGGGTAACTTCACAGGTTTATGTCATTACAAATATACAGCAGAAAGCTGTAAAATGAACAGCAATGAATATAAATATTAAGAAATTTTAGATGTGTCCAGAATGAACATGACAGGAGTAAAAAATAGATATAAATAGATAAACTGTATGGATGAACTAGTTCACAGAATTCTTAAATGCTGAAACATCCCTCTTTGAATACCTTTCGTTTTCTAATTTTTGTTCAGTCAATTAAATCTGCATCATAAGTTTTTACGAACACGCATTCGCCAGTTCCCTCAAACCGCTGGACTCTATCACTCTGCACTGAGGTTCATTACTGGAGACCCTTATAAACACTCATCACTGCAGACTGGATGAGAAGGTTGGTTGGCCCTCACTTGCAGCGCAGCGGGAAACACACTGGTTTATTCTGTCAGAATATATTACTTCAATGATGTCTGTAAATAATGCTATTTATCAGACTCACTCCAGTGTTTGGATCACATGACAGGTACTGAGGGTTTTACTGAACTGGGAAAATCTGCCTGTAGTTCCAGCATCAGTGAGCTGGACCCTCACTACAGGAACCACTACGACTCGGATCGCTGGGTCACTCAGTCACTTCAAACTCTTACTCTCTAACCACCTCCACTCTGCCTCACACTGTTCTACCTGATTTTTACTATTATATCTTATTTGTCTGTTTATTTATTACTATTCATATTCTTATTTAAATTAGGATTATTTTATTATTTTAGTCATTTTAATTATTTTTATATTCTAATTATTTTTAGTTTACTTTTTGATCTTATTCTCCTTTTGTTTTATTTTGATTTGATTTATTTTTATTAATTACTGTTTTATATTTTTTATTGTATTTTTATGTATGTTTATTATTAATGTTTCATCTTTTTTATACTTACCTGATTTGAGTCTCTTTTTTTGTATTAAATTTACTTTTATTATTTGATATGTTTTTACACATTATCAATCCCCTGTTCTGTATCAACTCGGCAACACCATAAATAAAGATCACCCTCAATGTTCTCCGAGATTAAATAAAGTTTGATTGATTGATTGATTGATTGATGATGGATTGAAGTTATTATTGCATCTAAAATACAGACGATCAGAAACAATATGGTAGGGATTCCAAAGTTCGGAACGCTGCCGTGTGCGAGACGGAGCAGGCGCTGTCTGAGGAGGAAACTTCCTAAACTAACCTAGCGAGGCCGGCTGTCCGCGGATCACGCCGTTTTTGGAGCGCTCCTCCCAGTCCAGCACCTCCTTGTAGATCAGCTCTGATGAGGAAGCAGAAAGACAGAGAGGAGAGTCAGACTGCGCTGAGAGAAACTCGGATGATTAGCACACAGCTCGTTATGATGAGCCAGCTGTTCTCCAGAGACCTGTTCTCATTTCAGCAAAGTGTACTGCTGCAGTGCTTCACAGAATAACTGAGAGAAGGGTGGGTGTAGGAAACAACACTGGCCCCCTAAAGAGACCCTGTCAGGGATGCATGTATCATTTCTCCTTTAACAATGAAGCTGTTAATTATAAGACAGCACCTTTCCACTCCTCCACGGTGTGCTCTCGCTCATCCAGCTGCTTGTCTGTGATCAGCGGCGGTGGCTGGAACAGAGAACAGCAATGATCATTTTAACTCCAACACAACACATTTATCAATAAATCTACAGCAAGACAAGCTCCAGTCGCTCTACAGCTGGCAGATACAGTGGACGTTCCTTTCTGAGGAACCTAAAACAGAAATGTAGCAGCTGTTGTTGTTAGGATATCCTAGTCAGGTCCTGTTGCCCCAAATCCGTAATCCATAATCCGTAATCCAGAGTCTTTTAATATTGAATGCTGCATGAAGTCCAATCCAAACTTTGCGTTTTTGAAGATAACATAGTTGCACATTTCACAAACATTAAAGACAGCAAAACCCTGACAACCACACTGCTATGAATTCCCAGGTGGTTGCTAAGGTGTTGCTGGGCTGTTGTCATGGAATCTGAGGTGGTTACTAAGGTGTTGCTGGGCTGTTGCTATGGTATTCCAGGTGGTTGCTAAAGTGGCACTGTGCTGTTGCTATAGAATCCCAGGTGGTTACCAAGGTGTTGCTGGGCTGTTGCTATGGTACTCTTGATAAGCCATTACTATAGAATCTCAGATGGGTACTAAGGTGCTGCTAGGCTGTTGCTATGGTACTTCAGGTGGTTGTTAAAGTGGTGCTGTGCCTTTGATGTAGAATACCAGATGTTTACTAAGGTGTTGCTGGGCTGTTGCTATGGTATTCCAGGTGGTTGCCAAAGTGGTGCTGCACCGTTGCTATAGAATCCCAGGTGGTTGCTATTATAGTACTCCAGGTGGTTACTAAAGTGGCGCTGTGCTGTTGCTATAGAATCCCAGGTGGTTACCAAGGTGTTCCTGGGCTGTTGCTATGGTACTCTTGATAAGCTGTTACTATAGAATCTCAGATGGGTACTAAGGTGCTGCTATGGTACTCCAGGTGGTTGCTAAAGTAGTGCTGTGCCTTTGCCATAGAATACCAGATGGGTACTAAGGTGTTGCTAGGCTGTTGCTATGGTTCTCCAGGTGGTTGCTAAAGTGGTGCTGTGCCGTTGCTATAGAATCCCAGGTTGGTTACTAAGGTGTTCCTAGACTGTTGCTACAGTACTCCAGGTGGTTGCTAATGTAGTGCTGAAATAGTGAACAATAGTAAACTAACAGCGAATACGGAAAGAAAAGTGAACAAACGTTGTATGAACCCTGTATGAGAAAATGGTACCAAATAAGCACAGAATACCAAAACAAAGACCTTTTCAATTCAGTAAAGATGTGCTAAAACGGCAGTTACTTTAAAATGCGGCCCTTTCTCATATGTTACTGCCAAGGTTTAAATTTAGAAGTTTGTTTTTGGTTTGTTTGTCTGTTTAACACAGGTGAAGCACTGATTATGAAGATATTACAAGCAGGTGAACAACATTAATTTTTCACTGTACAACACCCCACTTTGCACCACTTCTGAAAACTCAGCTCACTGCCAATAATTGTGGATAACATCCACTTCTGTCACCTGTCTGACAGTGGTGTTAACATAACACAGGTGGGTAAAACAACCTACCGTCAACGTCAGGATCGGAACTTGGATTTGATCACGCTTTATGTAGTAGATAGTAATCTATTCAAATATACCTTAATCGGTCCCAACACTGATGTTTCAGACTGGACTGGGACATGCCTATTGGTATTATTATTATTAGTAGTAGTAGTAGTAATAGTATAGGAGAAACACTTCTGTATTGTATAGAGACCAACAGCTGGCCAATTAAAAATAAACAACATTAAATGAGAAACAACCATATTGCAAAGTTCAAAATGATTAAATGGTTAAACTTTTAAAAACAGAGTGGTTCAGAGTGGTTTGGTGTGAAACGCTCTGTTCTACAGAAACTTACCGAGTCAGAACTGTTCACAGTGGTGGTGATAGGAACCAGACGTCCACCTCTAAAAGCTCCCTCACAGAAAGTTACTACATGAAATGGTTATGAATTCACTGCCTGATGACTGAGACACTGTGTTATGATAGTTTTGAGAAGATTCTGGCCTCAAAATCCATTCATGGTGGAGGCATACATAATATGCAGGGCGCTGTGAGGCAAAATAGTCCCCAAAGAAAACTTATTATTCCAGATTTTCCACTATTTTCCCATCATCAACATTCCATATAAACTCAGAAGACTCGTGTAGGTTCACTGGTGGTTCTGGAGAGTAAATAAAATGTCTATATTTGTGTTGTAGTCATGGCGACCCCTGGTTCCGATCACCACCACTGTAAAGGCATCGGTAAGTTTCTGGACAAAATTTTGAAAAACTCTTCTGTTTATAAAATGCTGACGTCTTCCTGCACAACAGCTGAGGTCTCCACTCAGAGGGCCAGATGCCGTGCGGTTCATATCCGATTAGAGGAGATGTGATGCGCCCCATCAGCCCCGTTCTCCGGGGAGCCTATGAAGAGGCTCAGCAAGGCGGTCAGAGGCTCTGAAGGCTAAACCTAATGAACGCAGCCCTCGCCGACGCACGCGCCTGCCGCCCTTCGCACAAGAGCCAATAAATAAATGCCTACCGCTTCCACCTCGGTGGGGTCATACCACACGTTGATGTAGGGGTGCTGAAGGGCCTCGTCCACCGAGATCCGCTTGGACGCATCTATTACCAGCATTTTGGACAGGAGGTCTCGAGCCTGGCTGGCTGCAGGGAGAAACAGAAGGGAATGAGAAAGTGAAATGAAAGCTTCTCACATAATCAGCTCACTTATGAGCTTTTTCTAGCTTGAATTCTATCCATGTGCAACATATGGAGATTCAAATGAAAGCACTGTTTTAAAAGCCCACATTCTTGAAAAGATGGTTCTTCAGGGTTCTTTAGTAAAGGGAATGGTTCTGTTTAGAACTACGGTTCTATATAGAACCATCTTGTGCTTAAGTGGTTCTCTGCATGGTGAATCCGTTCTTCAGATTAAAGGAGTGTGTATTGTGTATGTGTTTTTGAAAAGGTATCATCAAAATATGACATTTTATCGTTGTGTGATATATGTATTAAAGAACACTCACTGACCACACATTTCATTACAAGGTGAGCATAATTAGGCCTGTTTAATTGGTGCAGCTTGCAAGTCGCTGAATGAAATCACTGCAGTTTTAGGATTATTATTATTATTATCACTATTATTGTAGTACTTTTTATATGTGGCACTTGGCTCCATTTTGTTTGTACCAATTTATTAAATCTCAGAAAAAATGAATATCCTGAAGCATACCGTACATCATGAAAATGTCTTAAAGTATCATGATATAATTTTTGCCACATCACCCACCCCTATTTCTTTTTTGTGATCAACTTTTTATTATATTTTTATTGTTTTACAACAAGGGTGGGAAAAGGTAAGGGGGAGGGAAAGGCAGGATGGTGACATACATTTTTAGGAATACACACAAATATAAAGCAAAGACAATATATATAAACAACTACACAACTGAACAACATCACATAATTTAACTGGAAACTAAAGTTCTTGAATAGAGTCATACAAATTCTCCCAGTTTCTTCTGTTGACTGTTCTGCCTTGTTAAGCTTAGCTGTAAGAGATTCCATCCAAACTATAATTTGAAAATTAAACATTCAGAATTTCATAGCTGAAAGCTGTGGGGTGACCCAAAGTTGCAAGACCGTTTTCTTGGTGGCTGTAAAACATCCTTCGCTGAATCGAAGAAAACTGAAAAGCTGAGTCATCATTTAAAAGACATAAATGTGACGACAGTGGATCACTGAGATCAAGTATTTTAGAGGTCCATATATCTGATACTTTGAACATTCCCAGAACATATGCATAAATGTACCAGGTGCAGTGTTACAAATATTACAGGCATAACTAGAAATACGTTTCATTTGATATCTCCTGTAAGGTGTTCCATATGCTCTGTGAATTATTTTGTAATGAATAAACCAAATTTTTAGAGGAGTGACTTAAATTAGCCCATATAATGTTCCAATCCAAGGAAGGACCAGTACTGGAAAGCTCTCGTTCCCACAGCTGTTTGACTGCCAACTGCTTTATACGATGGTCTACCAATGTTTTGTAAATAAACGACACTCTGGCCCGTAGACTGTCCAGAGGTCTTATCCAGTCTAGCAAGGGGTGAGAGTTGAGAGTGCAGAACGATCCATCCCTATTTCTGAGCACACTGTAGATATCTCCAGTACGGATTACTATAGTGTATTGTAGTGTGTTTGATTGCAGTTTTGTAAATGTGAATTTACTGATGTGCTGATCAGCGTCAAAATATTGTGATACGTATTGTGAAAATTTCTTCAAATACCAAACCAATATTACGAATAATGCAAGACATCTAGGAGGGGCCATAAGCACTGAGAAGACCAGCAGATCATGGCCTCCACTGTGTAGGAATGTGAAGAAGAAATGAGGCGGCAATCACAGACTAGTCCAAGCACAAAGTACTCACCCTTCAGTTTGTTGTGGTCAGAGTCGGCCGGGAAGAGCACGTCAGGGAAAAGCTTCTCGAAGCTGTAGCCTGCATAGCGAGGTCTGTTCTCCACGTAGGTCCTCACAGACTGGTTGAGTTTCATCATGAACTCCTGAGACGGTGTGCCCAGCTGCTCGATGACCTTATTCCACTGGTCGATATCTACAGTTCACTCGGCTTAGGAAAAAAAATCAACACTGCAGATGCAAGACACGTACGGTTCTGACAGTGAGGAAACCTGGCCAGGTTCCAGACTGCATCACCGTTTACTCCAGAGAGTTCTACCATCAGGATGAACGCTTTGGAAATACAGATATTAAGAACAACACTGCTACACCTTAGCAAGAAACGACACATCTACTCACAAGACAAAAGATTAGCCTCGTCTGATTGCTTTTGTAGTTTTAGCACTACACTCTTAAAAAAGATGGTTCTTCAAGGGTTCCTCAGTAAAGAAAATGGTTCTACATAGAACCATGAACACTCAAAGAACCCTTTGCATGATTGTGTTCTATGCATCGTGAAAGCGTTCCTCAGATTGATGGAGAATGCGCTGTAGGTGGTTCTACATAGAACCTCTTTGAAAAGGGTTCTGCTATAGCTACGATGTCTAGCTTGTTACAAAAGAACCACCTACAGCACATTATCTATTTTAAGAGTGTGGAGCAGGGTCGGCAACCCAAATGTTAAGAAGAGCCATTCTGTCCTTTAATTATTCAACAGGAGCTGAAGGAAACTGTAGTTAGTGAACGAGCCACGCTTCCCCTGCTGTGACTTGGTGTAGCAAAGAATAACATTACATACATACTTAGTTGCGAATATGATAAAAATCATCCCAATTCAGAGCCATGTTTAAACCTAAAATCACTGTTTTATGGAATTGTTTGTATATTTCTCTGCATTTCCGTGAGAAAATATATCGGACGCTCAAAAAAGTGATTCAGTATTTGAAAACTGGTACCGTCTGAAGACAACCAACGAGGTTGCGTTGGTGGCAGTTTGGAAAGATGTGGAGGAGCTTCACGTGTTTGGGATGAACATGCTAGCGTTCCCGCTCCCACCTTGGGAGCATGGTGTGATAGGAGGAGATCTAGCTAATGTGGGAACTGGAGATAACTACACTGGGGGTTAATAAAAATGCGAACAATAGTAGCTTGAAGCTTGAATTTTTTTAATAGATAAAATTACATAATACAGAAACCATATCAATCAAATCTTGTAGCTCCACTGCAAAACTAAAGAAGTACATTTTAGAGAGCAACCATGTTTTGGCTAATCAATTACCGTGCGATAAAGAGAAAATGGTCTGAATTTTATTTATTTTTGTTTTATTACGTATAACTTTAAGCATTATTTCATATACGTTTACTCCTCAAGCTAGCGGTTGTTACAGTTTGCTGAAATATAACTAAAAGGGCCAGCACTCGTTTCAATACCCAGTTTCAACTCACTAATGATGATAAACGGGAGAGAAAAAAACAAAAAAGGACACACAAACACAAACACTAACAGACAGAATGGAAGAACGATGGAGGTCCGGGTAAGGATACGGTCTGTGCCTGGAAACAGCACGCTGCCTCTGACCATTTCGGCCATGATGCAGCCAATAGACCAGACATCAACTGAAAAAATGAAATGACAACCAAATTAAAATCACATACACAAAAAACTCATTCCAAACAAAACTGCATGCTTAATGCAAACAAACAAACAAACAAACAAACAAACAACAGGGTGCAGGTGAAGTGATGTGGACGCAACGTAAGAAAGGAAAAATAAAGACAGCATGCAGGCCTGAGTTCCCTTCTGGGTGGATCTAATCATTCTCTAAATAAAGAGAATTCAGACACAGCTGTGGAATGTATTACGAACAGGGCCTGACCGATATCAACAGTCTGCGTTTAATACCGAAAGAATTCTGATCCTACTGACTACTAACCTGTAAAAATGCTTCAAACTGCGATAACTATTCTCACTCTATGTTACACCAAACCTGCATCACCATAAGCAGCATTAAATATTTATATCTTTCATATTCACTTTTCTGCAGTCTTAAAAATAACGGTTCTACAAGGGTTCTTTAGTAAAGGTAATTGTTCCATGAACCATGAACACTCAAAAAAAACCATATGCAGGCATAAACGGTTCTTTGCATGGGGATATACGGTTCTATACAGAACCATTTTGAAAATTATTTATACAGCACCAAAAAGGATTCCGCTATTGTCACTATGTCAAGCTTGTAACAATACAAGAACCCTTTTTGGTGCTATGCAAAACCGCATTCTCCATCAATCTGAAGAACCGTTTCACCATGCAAAGAACCTTTTAAGCATGCAAATGGTTCTTTAATTGTTCATGATTCTATAGAGAACCACTGCCTTAACTAAAGAACCCTTAAAGAAGCATCTTTTTTAAGGGTGTAGGCTAAGACAGAACATAAAAACATAAATATTTAAGTAGCCATGTTATTGATCTGTGTCGAAAGCTTAATTTACCAAGCTTTAGGGTTTTAGGGTCATATGCTGAATTTCTGTTGACACCAATAAACCAGCAAGACCTCAAGCTGATATTATCAGACGACTGATATATCGTTCAGGCCCGATTTAGGATGGCAGAAAAATGTAGCCAGTTCAGTTTGGACCTGGATATTGTGCTGATAATTCATAAAAACATGAAGTATTTGCATTTCTTAAGGGGAAATTCCACACAACTTTCAAAAAAGTTGACATAAATCTGTCATTGAGATGTAAACAGAGAGATTCAGAGTGGTTTGGTATGTAATGGTTCAGATGTCTTTACAGTGGTGGTGATAGGAACCAGAGGTCGCCATGACTACAACACAGATATAGACATTTTATTTACTATCCAGAACCACCAGTGAACCTACACGAGTCTTCTGAGTTTATATGGAATGTTGATGATGGAAAATAGTGGAAAATCTGAAATATTAAGTTTTCTTTGGGGACTATTTTGCCTCACAGCACCATGCATGTATCCCTCCACCATGAATGGATTAAAATTAATTAAAATACCCATTATCATAAGCATTTCATGTAATAACTTGTGAGGGAGCTTTTAGAGGTGGACGTCTGGTTCCTATCACCACCACTGTGAACAATTCTGCCTCAGTAAGTTTCTCTAGAACAGAGCGTTTCACACCAAAATGCTCTGTTTACATCTGAACGTTTTAATTATGCAGACATTTTAAAAACAACAGGTGGAATTCTCCTTTAATGATATGCAAAGTGTCCTGTAAGATCAGCACTGCTTCATAATCACTGTGGTTTTTACTGAGACATTCAAATCAAACACATCTTTTTTGTGAAGACATTTAACTGAACTCTGTCATCTTCTAAGAAAGATGTGATGGAATGAGATGGTAATTATGACACTGATGAAGCGCTGAAAAGCTGTTATTTGACCTGATCTCAGCATCTCACAACAGACATTACCGCAATTTATGAAAATACCAAAACATAAGTTGGCAAGCGAGTGCAGAACAGCTTAACAAGCAGTACAAGGATACAGTCCCTCCCCGGGAAAAGGATTTTGTGGCGAACCATTTCTGCCATTATGCAGCCCACAGCCCATATATCCACTAAACGCGTGTAGCAGAAGAGGAAGAAGAGAACAGACTTCATAAGCAGAGCATCCAGTCAGCTGCTGAGGTCATGATTCCACAACTCAACAAGCCGTTTAACCTCTTACGCTCGTGGGTGTATTTCGGTTTTTCCATCTGAATTTACATGCCCAAATCGTAAGGCAGATTATTCAGTAACTGCATGAAATAAATGTAAATTTTTGGTTTTTGGTTCCCCTCAAACGAACAGAAAATGTGTTTGATGATCATAAACATAATGCTATATGCTTACAATTTTAATGAAAATAATTTTTACAGAGCAGATCACTGAAGAGACGCCATCTGAGATCCAGTTTATGGCTCAGATTTGTGGAAAAATGGGTCGACTTTCAATAGAAAAAAAAAAAAGTGTGAGTTCATTTATTATAAAAAGTTTTAAAATGACAATCTATTTGACTGGAAAGAAGACAGTTACAGCTCTCATACGACCCCCACCTTTAGAATGTAGCTTAAAGTAGTAAAGAATATGACGAAGTGCGTTTTGGAACCACCGCTGGTTCCACAGAGTTAAAAAGGTTAAAAGAAGTACTCAGCGTTTTCAACCTAATCTGTATCTGCAGTAACTGTCACACTCTCGATTATCACTGAACGTAGTTTCATCACAGTTTACTGTACTGAGGAAAGGACTGAATACCCGCTGACTCAGAGCAACGCAGAATTTTTCAGAATAAACATTTACAGTATTTGATTATATAATGCAAATTTGAAACTACATTTATTACATGCTAACCTCAGGGGTCTCACACTCAAATTACCTGGGGGCCACCTGCCAGGTGGAGGAGCCGGTTAAAAAAAAAAAATGCAGGGAAGTAAAGTGTCTCTTTTTTTCCCCCGTTTTTGAAGTACACATTTATTATTAATTATATTAGATACACTAGTTTAAGTGCATCTTAGGCTGCGTTCACACAGCAGGTAAAAGTGGCCCAAATCTGATTTTCTCACCAAATCCAAGTTTTTGTCTGTTCAGATTATCTTTTAAATGTGATCTGTATCATCAGTCTGAACAGATCAGCTCCTAAACTGAGCCGCATGCGCTACAGATCAGAGGGTCACACAGCTTCACGGCTCATCCAGAGGTAAACAATCACGACCGCCAACGAACGCCAGTCGCTCCCGGAGGATCAGCTTCATCTTCACCAGCATCACAGGAGCCATCATGAAGCTTCACTGACTGACAGCTGGGCTCATCACCCAGAATGTGTTCGAGCCGTAAAAAGGGCGCGGTCACTTCTTTGGTTCGCGTCCTCGGATTCTTTAAACTTTGACGCTGCAGCCTCGTTCTCCTATGGCTGTGTTCAGTCGTTTCGTTCAAAGTCTCTTTGAACTCTGAGGGTTTTGGACGAGTTTCTTCTCATTTTTGCACGGAAACAGCAGCCCAGATGTTTATGAGTCTCAGCAGTGCAAAACTATGACGAATGTGGAGTTGGATTGACGTAAAAGTCGCATGAATCCCAGTCTGGCTGTTCAGGTTGAGTCCCATTGCGTATTGGATACGGTTCGTATTTCAGTACCACATATGAAAGCGTCTCAAATCAGGATAGAAAATATCAGATTGCGTGTTTATCTGTTCACACTGACACACAAACACACATCTGTGTCACATATGAAGAAAAAGATCGGCCACTTTTACCTGCTGTGTGAACAAAGCCCAAGTCAATTCCTCTGTCACCACAAGCCACTGGGCCATCACGGTCATCACATTTTAGCTGATGATTAATTACCATAGAAAAAACTGTGATTAACCACTTATTTGTGGTTCTTTCTTCACTGTATGCAACTCTTGAAGTGGAAGTCCAGCGCGGCCAAACTAGCTGATTAGCTACGTTGCTTCCTTGATGTTGATACTGATGACAGATGCAGGTCCAGCTCAAATAAACAAACAGGACTGACTGCTGTCCTCTAAGCATGTTACAGCACCAGTAAGGGCTGAGGTGCGTTTTGTTAGACGTGGGTCAATTAAGGAGTTTTCTGATTTCTTTTATTCATATATACAGTGGTGCTTTGCTGGTATCAGCTGTTTGCACTATTACTCTCCAATATCTCTCCATTAACAGACCTGTCCAGTCAGTCAGTCAGCCTCTCTCTGCCTCTGAGCAATGTTTGCCTGAGTTGCCACATGGGAGCCACCAGAGCAGCTAGAGTCACCACCAGAGTTTCAACCACCATGGAGCTTCACGCTGTACAAATCTGTGCAAACCTCACCCTCATGAACTGACCCTCCTGCTGCTGCTGCTGCTGCATAAACTCACACTATCCAATTAACCGTTGCTCCGCCTGTTTTTCCTGTTTTGTATTCTAATATTTTTTACTAAAGCTGTTTGCTATCCGGTGTGGTCCAGAGGAGGATGGGTTCCCCTTTTGAGTCTTGGTTCCTCTCAGTGGTTCTTCCTCTTGCTCTTAGGGAGTTTTTCCTTGCCACTGTTACCACTGGCGACGCTCGTGGGGGCTCAGACCCGGATTTTTCTGTAAAGCTGCTTTGTGACAACACCTGTTGTAAAAAGCGCCATATAAATAAACTTTGACTTGACTTGGTGCTAGGAAGTTTCTGAGCCTTTAGAATTTTCTATATTTCTGCATAAATTTGACGTAAAACTTATTCAGATTCACACAAGTCCTAACAGTAGATAAAGAGTGAATGAAAGTTCACACCAGACGCGAAAGCAGGAGCGGATGCTGTTTGTGTTGCGTTTTCACGTAATATACACGTCTGTATTGTCCGTTTATTACTCATATAAACTTAAGTAGTTGACATAAAGAGATCAACGATAAAACTGTGACTAGCTGCCTTGACTGTGCCTGGCTTTCTCACCAGGTGATGTCGCGTGATATAAACAGGAGGAGATGACTGTGTGTTCACAACATTGACCCACTCAAGGCATTTCAGTCAGCCTGTCCAAGAGTTAAAATAACTAATAAATAAACTGTAAATGTGATGGACTGGAACAAGTGGTCATCGAAGTGTTATCCAACACTATGAAATAATAATAAAAATAATAATAATAATAATAATAATAATAATAATAATATTCTGGTTACGTCTGCTTTCCTTAAGGTTCTCTGCATGATCCATGCATGATCAGGAGGCGGATCCTGTTAACTTCTATGATGATATTACCGCAATTTCTTCCCTCTGGGAAACTAGACCCATCTGTGAACGATTCACAGCTTAATTACAAATACAAATATTTGACTGAAGAATTCATCAGTATTTGTTTAAAAATGTGTCCTTCTAGGCCTGTGATGGTAACAGAGTCCATTGATTGGGTAATGTGCGGAAAAAACCATGATTAATGGTTAAACTGGGTTTTGAAGGGGGGTATTTTTTTTCCACTTGCTGTAGCGTTTCATCCCTTACAGCCTCTCAGTAAATGCTGTGCTTGTAATATACTGTCTTCTTTAATTTGGAAACCAAATCTGTAATTAATCTAATTAAAAAGAACAAAATTATGAACATCATATAAACTTTACCGTCTGAGAGTTTGTGGGGAAACGACCTGTCTATGTCGTGTAGGATATGTAGGATATCACCTTTTTCAATTGGCTGCAAATGAGTTTTTACCTTCACTGGGGGCTGTTACCATGTTAAAAGGGGAACTCCACCAATTTTTCAAAAGTTCTACATAACAACATGGTTAAGATGTAAACAGAGTCATTCAGAGTGGTTTAATAAGAAATACTGAGTTCTAAACAAACTTACAGAGTCAGAACTGTTCACAGTGGTGGTGATAGGAACCAGACGTCCACCTCTAAAAGCTCCCTCACAGAAAGTTCCTACATGAAATGGTTATGAATTCACTGCCTGATGTCTGAGACACTGTTTTATGATAGTTTGCTGATAAAGTCTTGGCCTAAAACGCACTATAAGGCAAAAAAAAATTTTTTAGGCTTATCATCACCAACACTACATATAAAAACTCTCGTGTAGGTTCACTGGTTGTTTTTTTAAATAGTAAATAAAATGTCTATATTTGTGTTGTACACATTGTGCCCCCTGGTTCCTATCACCACCACTGTAAAGAAACCTGAGTGTTTGCAGGTTTCTCTACAATGAAGCACTTCATATCAAATCACTCTGAATGACTTGTTTATAGAATTATGCAAAAACTTTTTTAAAAATAGGTGGAATTCCCCTTTTATCTGATTAACAGTCACTGGGCACAGGCCTATGTCCCCTAGAATGTTCATTAACTGAGACCAGCATCTGCCCAGTGGCTTCTATTACATGTTTTGAGTCAACAGGTCTTCTTTAACAACATAATCTACATTAATCTCGCAAAATGCTGCGGCAGATCTGCTTCCCCCTCAAGCCAAATTTGTGTTAAAATGATAAAAATGATAATCACGTCCCTCTGCATGTTCTCACGAGTCATCCTGGCTGTAGGATGGTAAGCGCTTAGAGGCAGGCGAACCCAAAGAGCAGGAGCCATGCATAGATGATTAAACCGACTCTGACGAGAAGCTCAGCTCAAACCACAGAGTCTGCAGAGGAGCCCTGGCTTCTAAAAGCACTGCCGCTGTCCCATAATGCATCAGCCAGCACACCCTTCCATCTCGCGCTTTGCTGGGGGGGTGCGAGGGGGTGCTTGTGGTGTGGGGAGGCTGTTTCTGGGCATGCTGCAATGCAGTGATGGGGCTGTGGCGTGGTGCCAAGCTGGCACACTCACCGTTGGCCTGGTAACCCATGCCCAGGATGACCTCGGGGGCACGGTAGTAGCGCGTCACCACGTAGGGGGTCATGAGGAGGCCCGTGGCGGCCGTTCGGGCCAAGCCGAAGTCCAGGATCTTCAGCGTGCAGTCTGATTTCACCACAATGTTGCTGGGCTTCAGGTCCTGGAGGGACAGAGAGGTGTTTTAGAGGTTTGAGGGACACTGCCCAAAAGTTTGAGGACACCAAGCTTCTCAAAATGCTCTGTGCTAGTTTGTAACAGCATAAAAGCTGTAACATTTTTCACTGCAGAACCTGTGAAGGAACAACTGACTGAAAGACCACAACCTTGTTGTGATGTCAGCACTCAAACCTTTCAGGTGTTTAAACCACCTTTAGACCAAAAGAGCTCCAATATGTGCTTTTATATCAGACATGCAAACTCCAGAGGTGTGGAACAGGTCCGGAAAGCTCAGAAATAAACCAACCCCACCCCTTCACACCTCATAAAATTTGGCAGATAATCACAATCATTATAGGCAAGGCAAGTTTATTTATAGAGCACCTCTAATACACTGCTGTCATTCAAAGTGCTTTACATATCGCTGTTGTTGCAAGAAAACCTCGTATCTCCAAAATGGTAACTTTACAGGAGAAGGAAAAAACATACTTCACTTTTAATGTAAGTCAATGGAACCAGAGTTTTTTCCAAGTCACTTTGGGTCGTTTCTTTTGGTCCAATCATCATGAAATTTACATACAATGTAAAGAGCAACTGGCATTTTCAAATTATGTCAAAAACTGAAAAACGAAAAAAAGGAGATGCAAGGTTTTCTTCTGACAGCAGCGAAATGAGAAAATATTTAAAAAGTAAAAGAAGAATAGAAATTAAAAACATGATTAAAACAGATTTTAATTATTAAAAATCTAATTAAAAATGTAAAATTAAATTAGGATAAGGTGCTGTTATTTTATAAAAGGAGAAAAATCTAAAAACTCTGTCCATCATCTGTGTTCTAATTAACAAAGCAATGAAATAAAAATTTTGGACCAAAACCGAAATTCAAAACACACTCGGCCAAAAAACCAAAACTGAAAACCGAAAGAAGGGCTTCTCTTACGTATCATTTGATTTAGCTTCCATATGCTTTTGCACAAATGTAGAAGAGAGACGATAATCTTCACGTTGGTAAAAAGAACATTAAAGGGAGTAAAATTATGAAAATATAATCCTTCATGGTTTTCCAAAGGCATCTACAGCTGAATTCCAGCAGCTCTCTGCTATTTCATTTTCTTTTTATTACTGTTTTGACACTTTATGGTCGACATATTTAATTTTGTTGTTTTTGGCTAAATTTCCTTTTTATTCTTTTTAAGCTGAAAACTGTGTCAGTTCTGTGCCCAAAAATGTTGGTGCGTCCCCACGTCTAACTGCTTAAATGCCCACACTGGCTCATAAATCTCCATTCGACACGACCCAGCAGCTCATAGCAGTTAGGACTGTTAGGACTGTTCACAGAAATCAACACAAAATGGTGCCAACTTCAGACATGAATTACGCTGCACACTCTTACAAAGGACGGTTCTTCAGTAAAGAAAATGGTTCTATACAGAATTAAAAACACTGAAAGAATTCTTTGCATGATTAAATGGTTCTTTTCACGGTAAAATGGTTCTTTGGGTTAATGGAGAACGTGCTGTAGATGGCTTTATATAGAACTTTTCTGAGTAGGATTCTATATAGCACCAAAAGAGTGCTTCTGTTGTTACGATGTCAAGCTTATATCAATAGAAGAACCCTTTTTAGTGTTATTTATGGAGCCCTTTTCCTTTTTTTTTTACATATATATATATATACATTTTTTACATATATATATATACATACTACATACATACACACACACACACACACATATATACAAAAAGTTCTTTTTTATGGTTTTATATAGAACCATTTTCTTTACTAAGGAACCCTTGAAGAACCATCGTTTTTAAGAGTGTAGCTAACTGGGATGCAAACAATAATAATTTATATATCGCTGTTGTCGGAAGAAAACCTCATATCTCCAAAATAATAACTTTACAGGAGAAGGAAAAACACTACTTCACTTTTAATGTAAGTCAGTGGAACCAGACTTTTTTCCAAGACATTTTGGGTCGTTTCTTTTGGTCCATTCATCATGAAATTTACATACAACATAAACAGGTAACAGGTATTTTACAAATTATGTCAAAAACTGGAAAACATCAAAAATGGAGATACGAGGTTTTGTTCCGACAGCAGCGATATATAAGCCTAATAACAGCCTCTGTCTGAAAACTATTGACGAAAGAAATAAGAATATGTGAATGTTAAAATTGCTGTAGCCAAGAAATAAAAGCATTTACTTCTGAATCTAAACAAGAAGCTGCTTCAAATCTTAGAGAACATGAGACTGACTTACTGAACCCATAGCAGGGCATGCTGTGGATTCAATAAGTAGTGGCTTTAGACAGAAAGGGAGTGTAAAAGATCAGTTTGGCAAGCTTTGACAATCCACATGAAAATAATTCAATGCAGCACTGAAACATTAACCATTCGTAATTATGTTAAACATCAAGGCTGCAGGAACTCACCCTGTGTATGATACCAGCAGCATGTAGGTGTTTGATGCCACAGAGCATTTGGTAGAGCAGATAGGACAATCTCTCATGGTCCAGCTCCATCTGAATCACCTGGCACAGGTTAGCATCCATCAGCTCCATCACCAGGTAACTGCAGGCGACGGCAGCAGACAGTCAGACACACACATGCACAAAATCCCGCACATACAAACAGGAGGAGGTTCAGAATTTGTTCTATATGAACAAAAAGGAAAAACGAACAAGAGCTCTCGCTACTGAGTCTGAGTGTAATCTACACATCACACATCTGTACAAACCAGTTAGAATTTTACTTTTTACTTTTTTAAGTTGATCCAATTAGAACTAACTGAGCATTAACATTTGCAGAAAACGTAATTCCTTAAAAATGATTTGCTAAGGGCTCCCGAGTGGCGCAACCGTCCAAGCGTTGGCCCTATCATCAGGAGATCGCGAGTTCGATCCCTGGTGATGCTACAGCCGTCCATAGCCGGGAGTCCGAGAGAGCACAATTGGCCTCGCTCTCTCTGGGTGGGTAGGATGGCCCCTCCTTCTCCCCCCATCACTCAGCGCGATGCTAGTCAGCGCAGGCGTCTGTTAGCTGACGTAGCAGATCTGGCGGTTGGCGCTTTCCTTCGAGCGCGTTCGGCTGTCCAGTGACGCTGCGTGAGCGGCAGTTCAAAAATAAGCGGTGGTTGGCTTCACAGGTCTCGGAGGAAGCCTGTGTTAGCCTTCACCCTCCTAGCGTTGATAGCATCGTGTGATTGGGGGAGTCCTAACTAGCGGGTGGAATTGGAGACGACTAAATTGGGGAGAAGAGCGGGTAAAAATGAAAAAAAAAAAAGATTTGCTGCATGTGTAAGTGTGCGATTTGGTCAGGGATGCTCAAACTTGACCACCTCCTTGTTTCTATGCTCATTGTCCATTTTATCAGCTCCACTTACTATATAGGTGCACTTTGTAGTTCTACAGTTACAGACTGTAGTCCATCTGTTTCTCTGATACTTTGTTAGCCCCCTTTTACCCTGTTCTTGAGTGGTCAGGACCCCCATGGACCCTCACAGAGCAGGTACTATTTGGGTGGTGGATCATTCTCAGCACTGCAGTAACACTGACATAGTGGTGGTGTGTTAGTGTGTGTTGTGCTGGTCTGAGTGGATCAGACACAGCAGTGCTGCTGGAGTTTTTAAACACCTCAGTGTCACTGCTGGACTGAGAATAGTCCACCAACCAAAAATATCCAGCCAACAGCGTCCTGTGGGCAGCGTCCTGTGACCACTGATGAAGGACTAGAGGATGACCAACACAAACTGTGCAGCAGCAGATGAGCTATTGTCTCTGACTTTGCATCTACAAGGTGGACTGACAAGGTAGGAGTGTCTAATAGAGTGGACAGTGAGTGGACACAGTGTTTAAAAACTCCAGCAGCACTGCAGAGAGAAACACAAAAAACGATCCTGCCATTCTAACATATCTAACCTCTCTATCGCTCCACTTGCCCTGGGACGAAAATTCGAGCTTTCTTTAGAGCGCCATCAATCACGCAGAGCTTTTAACAGCAGCCGCACATTAGCACTGCATAACTCTTCACTCCACACAGCAGTAATGAACGTACAAATCCATCAATTATCTCTTTAACTTCTGTCACACACATTCAGCCAAAGACAAATCTACATCCAGATTCTACCCGAGTGTGACTGGGTTCAGAAAAAGAGACACGTTTAACAGCCACATCATTCAGCACATCAACTCACACGTCCTGAAACTCCTCCAGCGTCTTCTGCGGCGTGAACACGTTTAATAAGCCGATGATCTGTGAAAAGAAGAGAGAGACTTTATTAAAGTGTCTGATGCCTCAGTGTTCCATGGGACAAAAGTACATGGACACCTGACCATCACACCTATATAAGCTTGCTGGACGTTAATATGGAGTTGGTCCCTCTTTGCAGCTCTAACAGCCTCCATTCTTCTGGGAAGCTTCTACAAGATGTTGGAGAGTCTGTGGGAATTTATGTCCATTCATCCAGAAGAGCATCTGTGAGGTCAGACACTGATGTTGGTCGAGAGGGTCTGGCTCACAATCTCCGTTCCAGTTCATCCCAAAGGTGTTCAGTGGGGTTGAGGTCAGGGCTCTGTGAGGGCCAGTCAACTTCTTCCACACCAAACTGGTCACTCCATGTCTTTACGGAGCTGCTTTGTGCTCAGGGGCTCAGTCATGCTGGAACAGGAAAGGCTCTTCCCCAAACTGCTGACACAAAGCTGGAAGCAGATAACTGTGTAAAATGTCTTTGTGCTGCAGCATCAACATCACCCTTCACTGGAACTGAGGAGCCCAAACCCTGAAAAACAGCCCAGCCCATCATCCCTCCCCCACCAAACTCTACTGTTGGCTCTGCATTCCGGTAGGTAGCGTTCTCCCGACATCCACCAAACCCAGATTCATCATCAGACTGACAGATAGAGAAGCTGATTCATCACTCCAGAGAACACGGTTCCACTGCTCCAGAGTCCAGTGGCGGCGCTTTACACCACTCCAGCCGACGCTTGGCATTGGGCATAGTGATCTTAGGCTTGTGTGCAGCTGCTCAGACATGGAAACCCATTTCATGAAGCTCCTGATGCTCAGATCTTGTGCTGGTGTTGCTTCCAGAGGTAGTCTGGAACTCTGCATGGTCTACCAATGTTGTTGCTCCTAAAATCTTCAATTTTACAGTAATAGCACTTACATTTGACGGGGCAGATCCAGCAGGGCAGAGATTTTAGGAACAGACTTGTAGCAGAGGTGGCATCCTATGACAGTACTGCGTTTAAAGTCACTGAGCTCTTCAGTGCGACCCTCTACTGCCAGTGTCTGTCCATGAAGACTGCACGGCTATGTGTTTTATTTTATACACCTGTTAGCAACAAGTGTGGCTTAAACACCTAAAATCAATCATTAGGAGGGTGTCCATATACTTTTGGCCATATAGTGTATCTTGTAGGAATCTGCTAAAGCGATTAGCTAGCCTGCTATCACGGCTCGTCTCCGTCTCTCAGCTCCACTGCTGAGACCACTGCACCAGTGTTTAGTCACTAAACGAGTGACTGCGGACGTTCAGCTTCTTCACCTGAACGTCGCTAAAAACTACAGCCAAACAAATTAACATCTAATTACCTGTGGCTAATGTTGTCTGCCATTTTGGAATGTTTTCTATAAGCCCCTCAACGTCTCAATGAATGCGTTTACTGCTTTGTTTGTTGCAGCAAAATATCACAGCGGACTGTGGAGGACATTTGCAGTCAGCTGAAATAAATGCGATCATCTCAAATAATCGCAATTAGGCAATTACGTAATAATTGTGAACAGCCATCCCTCGGCTATTATTACTATTTTAGTAATAAAACGTCATGTTTTTAAATGCGTTCCTCTCTGTGATGCTACATTCTGAGCAACCCAAGTCGGCTAAAAAGATAAACCACACCTTTATATTCATAATTTTGTTGTTTTGTCGTTAAGGTCATCACAATCATGGCTTTTAAACTGATGATTAATTGTCATAAGTAAATGGGTTCAATTTTCATGTTCATTGTTTGCAGCTATTAAAATACAAGTCTAAAGTAGCCAGATTGGCTGATTAGCCTTCTTACTTCCTAGCCATGTTTACCGGTTTGTACCGTCACATCAACACCGGGCACAAACTCACACAAACGTCTACAGTTACACAGAATTATATGCAGAGTCGAGCAAACTTACATACATTAACCATAAAACACTCTTTCTGCCTCTAACAAACAACGTTTCTCAGCACTGCCCTCTAAATATGTTTTCATAAGCGCGTTTTCATGTGATTCTTCCAAGAAAATTTCATGGTACAGGATATGTCACAATATTTATTTTTTTAAGACATCTGATTAGCTGAAAGAGAAAAAAAAGCCACAATGCTTTTGAAAAGCTTTGATGAACTATGAGCCCAGCGGTTAAAGATAAGTAAAAAAATAAAATTAAGTGATTTAAGAAGGAAACACAAGGAAAAAAATCAAGAAATCTGTTATAAAATTATATAAGATAACGGCATAATGGCCTGATGTCCAGCCATTTGATTCCTAGGGGTGGGCGATATAACAATATATCATGTACGTATTTCGTTTTTCATACCATCATATGCTCAGAAAAGCATACTGTGATGTAATTTATGTTAACAGTACATAATAGTAGAGGTGGGCGATATGGCAAAAATATAATATTGTGATACTTCAAGAAAATTTCATGGTACAGGATATATGTCACAATATTTATTTTTATAGACATCTGATTAGCTGAAAGAGAAAAAAAAGCCACAATGCATTTAAAAAGGTTTGATAAACTGCGAGCCCAGCGGTTAAAGATAAAAAAATAAGTGGTTTCACGGAAACACAAGGAAAAAAAAACCTGTAATCTGTAAAAGTAACCTGTAAAAAATAATTTATTTATATAAGATAACGGCATAATGGCCCGATGTCCAGCGATTTGTTTCTAGAGGTGGGTGATATAACAATATATCATATACATATTTCGTTTTTAATACCATCATATGCTCAGAAAAGCATATTGTGATGTAATTTACAGTACATAATCGTAGAGGTGGGTGATATGGCAGAACTATTGCAATACCTTTCATGATATGATATGATATGTCAGATGGAACTGAAAAAAAGAGCCAGTAGACCTATATTTAAAAATTACTATCAAAAACTGAACACAAGCACTAAATCTAGTTAAATGGGACTAATTTTGCTCTCTTTCTAGTGAAACATGCAGTTGGTCAGTGTCTACAAGTACTGACGATATACGATATAGCATAATATTATATAGTAAGCATATTGTTTTGTATTTTGACATAATTTATCACAATAACGATATCTACTGTCATTTTGCTCAGTGGTAGGACCATGATGTCTCAGTGAAAATATTTCCTGCTTTCTTTTATTTACATTTATTTGCCTCAACGTTTATTGCAGCATAATATGACTGTGCAATCTAACAACTGTGGAGAAAAACTGCTGTCAGCTTAAACTGCGTTCATTTTGCAATCATGTTACGAAATCATTTTTGCCTATTTGTCATTGTTTTTTTTTCCTCTTCACATCAGTTAACCGGGCATCCGTTCGTGAACCCTTATGGACACTCGAATCTAAAAATCACCACACGTGCGTCACTGTGTGCGTGTGTGAGAGGTAAAAACACGGCTTACATTCTTGTGGTTGACGCACTTCATGAGCACCAGCTCTCTGTAGGCCCTCTTAGCGTGCGTCTGGTTCTGAAAGGGTCGGCTGAGTTTCTTAATCGCAACATTCCTCTCCAAGATGTGGTCATACGCCGAGCTAGAACACAGCAAAGAAAGTGACCCCATGTGACCTCAATCCATGACTTTTAGAAAAATACATCACTCACCGGGCACTTTATTAGAAACACCTCCTTGTTTCTACACTCAGTGTCCACTTTATCAGCTCCACTGACCATTTAGTTTCACTCTGTAGTTCTACAGTTACAGACTGTAGTCCATCTGTTTCTCTGATACTTTGTTACTCTGTTCTTCAGTGGTCAGGACCCCCATGGATCCTCACAGAGCAGGTACTATTTGGGTCATGGGTCATTCTCAGCACTGCAGTGACACTGATGTGGTGGTGGTGTGTTAGTGTGTGTTGTGCTGGTCTGAGTGGATCAGACAGAGCTTTTTAACACCTCAGCTTGAGAACCAGCCAGCAGCAACCTGTGGGCAGCGTCCTGTGACCACTGATGAAGGACTAGAGGATGACCCACACAAACTGTGCAGCAGCAGATGAGCTATCGTCTCTGACTTTACATCTACATGGTGGACTGACAAGGTAGGAGTGTCTAATAGAGTGGACAGTGAGTGGACACAGTGTTTAAAAACTCCAGCAGCACTGCTGTGTCTGATCCACTCGTACCAGCGCAACACACACTCAGTGTTACTGCAGTGCTGAGAATGACCCACCTGCTCTGTTGGGGTCCTGTGGGGGTCCTGACCACTGAAGAACAGGGTAACAAAGTATGCAGAGAAACAGATGGACTACAGTCTGTAACTGTAGAACTACAGAGTGACACTATATGGTCAGTGGAGCTGAAAAGATGGACAGTGAGTGTCGAAGCAAGGAGTATGAAGATAAATCAAAATAGTAGAAATAAATGAACAGAAATTTTGGAAATCAGCATGATATCAATAATAAAGTTGAATGCAAAAATTTGGGTGCACCTGGCGAACTTATGTTTTCACCGATTTTCTAAGTGAAAATAAGTTAACAGGTTCTCTACAGTGAACACGCTTCTGACCACTTCAATGCACCATTAAAATACCTATTTGCTGAATCTGACATATTGGAGGAAAAAAACCATACTATCTGGATGGTCCACTGTAGATTCTTTGTGAATGCTGTGTGAAAAAGTGTGAAAGAATTTATTAAATCTAACCCTAAACCTAAACCTAAACCTCACCTTAACCTCAAGGTAAAACCTACACCTATTCCTAACCCAAACTCGAACCCTAATGTTGTTGATAATCAACTGAACATCACCAGAAAGTCTGTTAATGATCTAAGCCTCTGTGGAGCATCTGTAGGGGACCATCCAAATAAAGTGTGACCACACAGTGTGGTCTGTGCATAAGTTATGGCATATGTTAATATTTTAGTTGTGCTACATTATTTTTCTCAAAAAATCGACAAAACCTGTCATCTGACTCATGGTGTTCAAACCTTCGCTTACAACCGTACGCAAAAGTTCACTGAGTGAAAATGACTGTGATTTCATGAGCTTACCACACAATGCCTTGTGCTCCAGAGCCAATAGGTCTTAAATTCTGATAGCGCTTCAGAACAGTGAACGTTGAATCTCCTACGTCTATACTGTAATACTCTTTCTCACGCTTATTCCTGTTCATGGTGATATTCGGGACGATTGCGTCTTCAGCATTCAAATGGGACTCGGGACGCAAGATCTGAAAGAGAGGAGAGACACGTTAGCTTTACTGCTGCCGTTCAGTGGAGCCTCCACCAAGTCATGAGGGCTTGAAGGCTACTTAGTCTCCATGACTAATCTTCATCATCTCATCATGAACTCCAGATAAGAAAACAGCATCACACAAACATCCTAACTGGACTAAACCTCCTAAATCCTGTCCTAACTTTAGGATGAACCCCAACAGGGTCCTCACTTCTGTTTAAGGTCCGTTTCTATGGTTTTTAGGCAGCTGAGTCAGCAGCATAGTTCACTACCAGCATAATGAGCTCCATTTATTTCTACTGTAAAACGCTGCTTTCACTGTGAGATGATTTTCTTTTCTAACTCTGCGTTTTAAAGATCTCAGACGCTGCAGACTCGATCTCCACCGCCCCTCTGATCACCTTCGTGTGTTAATGTTGATGATGAAATATTACAGTGATGGTGGTGAATAATGAGGAGACGGAGCTGAACGTGTGTCTGTTTATTAGGAGGAGTAACGTTAGCGCGCTCGGCTAAAGCGTTTGGGAAATGGAGACTGAAACTGGAGAGCGGGGACGCTCTGATAAACAGCAGGGGGCGCTCTTACAGTATTCACAGCTTACAGTTTATCACACTTTAGTTCTGTTTTGTCCTTTTTTACATCAGTAGCAGCAGCTGTGTGTGTATGGTCAGTTTCTAGGTAACAGACATGACAGTCGTTTTTCGCCGATATGGATCAATATATCTAATGTCCTGCTTTCTTATCGTCCAGGTTTCACATCCATAAAGAACCACAGAGAAGATCAACCCGTGTTGTATTTCTTAACTGCTGGACAATTTTTTGTTGGTAATCATCCAAAACGATATGATCTGTCGATCACTTCTACATCTTCACTATTACTGGCATTAAAGCTGGAGGTCTTTCCTGTTTTCAAACCCTTTGTCTCCTTCATATAGAAGTACTGTGTTTTCCAGAGTCTACTGAGGATTTCAGACATAAACGGCTTAAAATCTACATGATACTGATTAATTATTATGGGGTGAAACTTTGCAAATGATGTCAAAACTGTTACAAAATCTATGACAAATATTTCACCGACGCACTCACACTTACATCTAGAGCTGGGAAATATGACCATATTTATCGTTACTGTAAAAATTATTTCACAATATACAGAAGTCAGTTCCAGCCACGCGAGCTGATTGGTTGAGAAGCGTTCTAACTGTGCTGTTATTTCGCCATAATGTCACATTTTTTTCACAAACGCCGTATCACTCCGCCTGGCTGGAACAAAACAACATTAATACTGATCTGGCAAAAAATGACAAAACTGAGCTGAACTTGATATTGCGGCAGTTTTATGGCTCAGTCTGATTTGGTCAGACTCTGAAGATCAGAGTACACGTTTGGCGAATGGTGTTGGGTTCATTTCTGGCTGATTCCAGGTTGTTCAGCTGTTCTTCTGTCTCAGCTGCCGACTGAAATGCTGCTCAGTGGTGATGACAGTTTGGGAACTTTAGTGTAAGGAGCTGGAGAACGAACTGCCGGCTGTGCAGCGAGTGGGCGGAGCTCGTTACTCTGACGTAGCAACGAGCTGCTCGTTAAGGAACTATAATTTGGTACATTTAGAGTGAACTGTTATGAAACGGGCCTGTTAGTGCAGGTCTGGCTCTGTGACTGGATGAAGGCTTTAGTCAAAGACCTGGAAAGCTTTTCTTAGACGTAACAGACATGACAGTCGTTTTTCGCCGATATGGATGGTGTTTCTCCAAAATATTCTGTTTTCTGTTTGGGTCTTCAGGCTTATTAACAGCTCGTTCATGACTCCACTGACTGTCTCCATCCATCTTGTTGGTCGTCCTCTTCCTCTGTAACTTCAACTCCTCCCAGCATCGTTGTTTTTCCCAATGAACTCATTCTTCTAATAACACACTGTCTGTCCGGTATCTGGACGCTCCTTCTAATGAGTGAATTCAGCTACTTTAAGGTCACTCACTGCTGACACAGCTTGTTTAATCTCCACAGAAAAGCACCGATCAATAAAACTGGGACTCTCTGGAGCAGCTGCACATGAGCCTCAATTTTCTGTTGATCAATATTATTTTATTCCATTTTACTTTATGAACATTTTACTGTTTTATCATAACTTTCAGTTCTATTTTATAACTGTGCGTTTCTATTACTTGTATTATCTTATTAATTATCTTGTATTATCTTCAGTCCCAATTTGTAATGTTGTCTTATCAAAGTGGCTGTGAATTAGTCTCTAAATCTATTTTAATATTGTACGTTTGATCATATGTTTTGTCAATCACTTGTAAAGCACTTCGAATTGTGGTTCGATTTGTTTGAAAGGTGCTATATAAATAACCATGCCATGTAAATAACCACGTAGAGGAGGGCGATACAGCGAAAATATAATACCACACTACTTCACGAAATTTTCCCAAAACACAAAATCATAATATTTTTTTTTCTGAAATCTGAAATGTGGGAACAGGAACAACAGCAGTGCCAGCTAAAAAAAATAAAACAAAGCAAACACATAAACGTTATATATGAATATAAATGATTTTTTATTTAATGTTTCACTCACTGCACTAAATCCAATTAAACAGGCTTAATTATGCTCTCTTCGTAACGAAGCACGTGGCTGTTTAGTGTTCTGGAAGTGCTGATGGTATATTCAGAAAAGCATACCATGACATATTGTGATATAATGTATCACAATAATGATAAATATTACTATATTGGCCCAGGCTTAGTATGAAGCCCCCCAGCATTGGGCTGTGGAGCAGTGGAACTGTGTTCTCTGGAGTGATGGAGCTCCATCCAATACCTTTGGGATGAGTTGGAGTGATCCCAGAACTGACCATCCAACATCAGTACCTGACCTCACTAATGCTCAATCAAATCCTCACAGCTATGTGCAACATCTAGTCTAAAGCCTTCCCAGAAGAGTAGAGGCTGTTACTGCAGCACAGACTCACTATTAACACCTTCATTTCAGGAGAAACTCTGGAGTCCACAGACTTCTGGAGAAACACTGTTTGTCCAAAATAAGAACTTCAGTTTGGTTATCTGGGTTTTAACTGAGAGGTGAGGCTTCTTCTGGTCAAAGATCCATTAGTTTGTTCTCTGTCCAAGGTTCTCCCAAAAGTCCTCACCAACACCAAAATTCAAAGGGATCAATATATTCAATGTCCTGCTTTCTTATCGTCCAGGTTTCACACCCATAAAGAACCACAGAGAAGATCAACCCGTGTCGTATTTCTTAACTGCTGGACAATTTTTTGTTGATAATCATCCAAAACGATATGATCTGTTGATCACTTCAACATCTTCACTATTACTGGCATTAAAGTTGGAGGTCTTTCCTGTTTTCAAACCCTTTGTCTCCTTCATATAGAAGCACTGTGTTTTCCAGAGTCTACTGAGGATTTCAGACGTAAACGGCTTAAAATCTACATGATACTGATTAATTATTATGGGGTGAAACTTTGCAAATGATGTCAAAACTGTTACAAAATCTATGACAAATATTTCACCGACTGCACTCACACTTACATCTAGAGCTGGGAAATATGACCATATTTATCGTTACTGTAAAAATTATTTCACAATATACAGAAGTCAGTTCCGGCCACACGAGCTGATTGGTTGAGAAGCGTTCTAACTGTGCTGTTATTTCGCCATAATGTCACGTTTTTTTCACAAACGCCGTATCACTCCGCCTGGCTGGAACAAAACAACATTAATACTGATCTGGCAAAAACTGACAAAACTGAGCTGAACCTGATATTGCAGCAGTTTTATGGCGCAGTCTGATTTGGTCAGACTCTGAAGATCAGACTACACGTTTGGCGAATGGTGTTGGGTTCATTTCTGGCTGATTCCAGGTTGTTCAGCTGTTCTTCTGTCACAGCTGCCGACTGAAATGCTGCTGAGTGGTGATGACAGTTTGGGAATTTAGTGTAAGGAGCTGGAGAACGAACTGCTGGCTGTGCAGCGAGTGGGCGGAGCTCGTTACTCTGACGCAGCAACAAGCTGCTCGTTAAGGAACTATAATTTGGTGAAGGAACTGCGAACATTAAAACATTAAACGCCGCGTTCACGGCCCAGTTTATTAATTTATTACTTTATTTGTTTAACTGTTGTATTAAAGCAGTAGAACACTCGAGGAGTGTGTTATCGCCAATAACATCACGGCTGTGATGATCTACGGCGACCAAATCACAGCCGTGATGTTATTTCGCGGTAACACACTCCCTCTGTGTTCTACTGCTTAAATATGTCTTTCTGAGTATATTGTGGATTTCATCAGCACTTCAAAGACTTCAACTGCATGATTACATTATAAAGAGAGCTTGAACGGTCGTGTTTAATTGGATTTAGTGCTGCACTGTGTGTGAAATACTGAATACGAATGACTGAATTTTAAAATGTGGAACTATTTTGTCTTTTCCAACCAATCAGATCTCAGAAAAAGCAAAATATTGTCACATATTGTGAAAATTATTTTAAGTATTGCGATTTCATTTCTGCCACATCGCCCAGCTCTACTTACACCCTTCCCTCTGATCCTTCTCTCTCTTTCCATGCAAAGAGATACTTGTAAAAAGCATCAAGTTAAAAGCCTGGAGGTCTCACATGGGATGTGGAGTCTAAGAAAAGCTTTCCAGGTCTTTGACTCAAGCCTTCATCCAGTCACAGAGCCAGACCTGCACTAACAGGCCCGTTTCATAACAGTTCACTCTAAATGTACTCCAGGGCATCAGAAACGACTGCCAAAATGAAACCTATCAGTAAAGAACTCGAGAGCTTTAATAAACAGGGCTGAATGATTTGTGGAAAACATCTAACTGCGATTTGTTCAACTAATACTGCGCCAATAGAATAGCAGAACCCTTCTGTTCATATGGTTCTATATAGCACCTTTTGGTGCCATACAGAACCATATACCATACACCATACAGGGTCTCTGAGTGTTGATGGTTCTATATAGAATGAATTTCTTTACTAAAGAACCTTTTTTTTTTTTTAGGAACCTGAAAATTCCTCTCTTAAACTGATTTTGCTACAAAAAGCTTAATCTTCAGCTCTAATAATAAAAATATGAATCACATCTTTCAGAATATGAAAATAAAAACTGGCAACATAAACACTAAACAGAATCACACAGAAAAGACTTCAGTTTATAGATTTTCTGTGATTGAAGAAGAAAGAAAAGAAAAATGAAGGAAAAAAAAGGAGGAGGAGAAAAAGAAGATAGAGAAGAAGAAGAAAGAATATAAAAGGAGGAGAAGAAGAAGTAGAAGAAATAAAAAAGGAGGAGGAGGAGGAGAAAGAAAAAAAGGAGGAGGAAGAAAAGAACAACAAAGAAAAGGAGAAGAAGAAGAAGAAAAGGAGAAGAAGAAGGAGAAGGAGGAGAAGAAGAGAAAGGAGAAGAAGGAAGAGGAGGAGGAGAAGGAGGAGAAGAAGGCAGAGGAGGAGGAGGAGGAGAAGAGGAGGAGAAGGAGGAGGAAGAGGAGGAGAAGGAGGAGAAGAAGAAGGAGGAGAAGGCGGAGGAGGAGGAGAAGAAGGCGACTGAAGGGCTGAGTTTTACTGTAACTCTGGGTTGTTAATATTGATGAGCGGTAAAAGGAGCAGCAGGTTCGGAGGCTCTGCGTCTCTATGACGCGTAAATTCAGGCGCATTAACATTATTTACCTCACGTCTATGAGGCAACGGCATTTCAACACCATACGGAGTTAATATGGAAATAAGTATGCAAAGTTAATAAGTGAAGACTGATCAGCTGAACTGCAGCGTCTGTGCTGATCACGGTCAGTGATGACGGCGTCAGTGAGCAGCTCACCTTCACAATGCAGCCACTCAGCTGCAGCACTGTCTGCCCTGCAGTGTCCATAATAAGAGCTTAACGCAAGATAATGAAGACAGTACAGCTCATCTAACATCTCTCTCCCCTCATTCCAGCTTCCATTCTCTTCAGGAGACTCACTTTCAGCTCCTCAAAGAATCTGCAGACACACCTCCAAAGTTCAGTCTTAGAAGCTGGTTGATGATTTTCTGAAGTAATCAAACACATTCAGTGATGTTGAGGTCTGGACTCTGGGGTGGTCAGTCCATCGTTCAGCTTCTTTGTTTGATGTGTCCGTCTCCTTTTCTCAGTGAGGTTCTTCTTGATCAGCTACACATCCTTTCAGACCCACAGCGCTGAGTCGTCTTCTCACAGTGGAAGGATGGACAGAAACACCTGTGGATGTTTTCAGATCTGAACCAGCTTGAGTTTCTCCTCTCTCTCAGAGATGAAAGCTTTAAGTGCTGTTTATCTGATGGGGGCAGTTTTGGGGTCGACCAGCTCTTCCAGGTGGTTGTTAGGAGACACATTTTCTCTGGAGCTTTTAATCAGTTTTTGGAAACTCCTGTTTTTTTTCACTTTGACTTTCTTTTTCATTATATAAGTGGATTATCTTACATCTAATCTCCTCACAGATACCTCCTGAAAATGAATAATGTATACATAATGGCTGTTTTGACTGGACATTAAATAAATAAATAAATTAACGATGGGTCTCTGATGTTTACACAGTGTTGTATATTATAAAAATCATTCTTTTATGTAAGAATTTCACATTTGGATGTAATTAATAAAATGCTAATGATACATACATGCAAATGTAAACATATTGTGGAGCAAAACAGGCAGATTTTCAGGATGCAACCTTAAGCCAGCATCACAAATAACAGGCAGAAAGGAAAATTAATATAATTTAATACAGAAAATGCACATATTGACATCTTGACAAAGTAAAGGTCCATGTCAATACAGAAAATGTGCATTTTAACAAAGAATAACACGTTTAAACTAGTTTATCAACACCAATATCGCAACAACTGGCCAGGTTTCATCAGTGAGATTCATAAAAACAAAAAAAGGATGAATTTAAAAGGGAATTTGACCGATTTGTCAATATTTTGGTATAATTATACTGTTAAGGAATGGTTTGGCAAAAAATTAATTCAACACAGTTTACCTGAGAAAGGTTTTGGGGATGTATTTGCAGAAAAGATCTGGGTGACTATTGACATCTACTGTTTTTTTTTAGCCTCATAGCTCCAGCGCTAAACTAAAGAAGCAAAATTTGGGCACCAAACGTCTTGGCTGATCAACTAAATCCAGGGTAGGTGGAAAATCGTGTAAATTTGATTATTTCGGCAGCCGGACAATACCTTTAAGATGTAAATAAGCATTATATCTCTCACTGTAATGTTAGCGCGGGTTGATCTAATTCTTATGTGTACATTTCAAGAAATTTTAACAACACACAATATTTATTTTTTCACATATCTGATCCGTTTCAACAGAGAAAAAAAGAACCAGCTGTGCTACATTTTAAAAAATACGATCAAAACTGTGCTCACAATGACTTCTATAAAATATTTGGCTTACTGTGACGCATTAACTCCTGTTAAAGGGGACTAATATTGCTCTCATGCATGCATATATAAGAATCTGCAGACATAAAAATACTGTGTATTGGTATTATATAGAATTCTGGATATCACGACGTCTGGTTCCTATCACCACCACAGTAAAGACATCAGTAGGTGTCTCCACCATGTAGTTCTACTTCAAACCATTCTGAACGGCTACACAGCTGAACTGTACTGTTTCAGACTGTCATTATGCAGGAATTGTGAAAATTGGGTGGAACGTCCCTTTAAACGTTCGCCCCCTTAAAGGGACAGTGCAGTACTCGCCTCATATTAGGCTGCTTTAAAGCGTAAACGTAAAAATACGACAGGTAAGAAATGTAACGGGACTACAGGTGTCATTCAGAAAGGTGGTAAAATAATAACACACCCCCTCCTACGAAGCTAGAACCAGCTTCTCATTCGAATTTCCCGTTCCACCTTAAATGGAGCAGCAGTTACACTCTGGCGCCTGCACCGTTTAAGGTGGAACGGGAAATTCGAATGAGCAGCTGGCGAATAGGAAGCCGACTTCTTCAGCCTCGTCTTCCTCGCATTCCCAGCACGTTTTAGCCCCGATCAGAGAGCTTCAGGCTGCGGGATTCACCCGATTTATAGTGAAATAATTTTAATATCATTATCGTTCCTACACCCTCCCCCACGGCCAACAACAACAAAGCCCACGGAACAGGGCAACCCGGCCTTCACTCACCCCCTAGAAGAGGTTCCAGAAGCTTCCACACCCACAGAAACGGGTTCTGTCTCCTCTGTGCAGAACAGCGACGGAACAGTGTAAATATTCCGGTTATTTTTCTGTCCTCTCGGAGCCTCAGCCCGCCGCCTCTCCTTCCCCTGCCAGGCCAGGAGCGCACACTGGGGTACTACGTCACCGCATTTCTGCGCTCCAGCATACGTAGGCAGTTTCTGCGCTCTTTGCTCTAATTCCTTTTTCGCTTGTGTTTTTTGTTTGTTTGTTTGTTTGTTTGTTGTTTTTTTGTTTTTGGGTGTTTTTGTTTATTGTTTTGTTTTATATAGTAATATATAGTAACTTGTGGTCTCAATATATTAATTTGTGGCCCCAATATACTAACTTGTGGTCTCAATATATTAATTTGTGGCCTAAATATAGAACGTGTGTCCTCAATATAGTAGCTCGTGGTCTCAATATATTAATTTGTGGCCTAAATATAGAACGTGTGTCCTCAATATAGTAGCTCGTGGTCTCAATATATTAATTTGTGGCCTCAATATAGTAACTTGTGTCCTCAATATAATAGTTTGTGGTCTCAATATATTAATTTGTGGCTTCAATATAGAACTTGTGTCCTCAATATAGTAACTCGTGGTCTCAATATATTAATTTGTGGCCTCAATATAGAACTTGTGGCCTCAATATAGTAACTCGTGGTCTCAATATATTAATTGGTGGCCTAAATATAGTAACTTGTGTCCTCAATATAGTAACTTGTGGTCTCAATATATTAATTTGTGGCCATAATATAGAATGTGTGGCCTCAATATAGTAACTCGTGGTCCCAATATATTAATTTGTGGCCATAATATAGAACTTGTGGCCTCAATATAGTAACTCGTGGTCTCAATATATTAATATGTGGGCTAAATATAGTAACTTGTGGCCTCAATATAGTAACTTGTGTCCTCAATATAGTAACTTGTGGTCTCAATAAATTAATTTGTGGCCTCAATATAGAACTTGTGGCCTCAATATAGTAACTCGTGGTTTCAATATATTAATTTGTGGCCTCAATATAGAACTTGTGGCCTCAATATAGTAACTCATGGTCTCAATATATTAATTGGTGGCCTAAATATAGTAACTTGTGTCCTCAATATAGTAACTTGTGGTCTCAGTATAGTAACTTGTGTCCTCAATATAGTAACTCGTGGTCTCAATATATTAATTTGTGGCCATAATATAGAACGCGTGGACTCAATATAGTAACTCGTGATCTCAGTATATTAATTTGTGGCCTAAATATAGTAACTTGTGTCCTCAATATAATAGCTCGTGGTCTCAATAAATTAATTTGTGGCCTCAATATAGAACTTGTGGCCTCAGTATAGTAACTCGTGGTCTCAATATATTAATTTGTGGGCTAAATATGGTAACTTGTGGTCTCAATATATTAATTTGTGGCCACAATATAGAACTTGTGGCCTCAATATAGTAACTCGTGGTCTCAATATATTAATTTGTGGCCTAAATATAGAACTTGTGTCCTCAATATAGTAACTCGTGGTCTCAATATATTAATTTGTGGCCTAAATATAGAACTTGTGGCCTCAATATAGTAACTTGTGGTCTCAATGAATTAATTTGTGGCCTCAATATAGAACTTGTGGCCTCAATATAGTAACTTGTGGTCTCAATATATTAATTTGTGGCCTAATATAGTAACTTGTGTCCTCAATATAGTAACTCGTGGTCTCAATATATTAATTTGTGGCCTCAATATAGTAACTCGTGGTCTCAATATATTAATTTGTGGCCTAAATATAGTAACTTGTGTCCTCAATATAGTAACTTGTGTCCTCAATGTAGTAACTTGTGGTCTCAGTATAGTAACTTGTGTCCTCAATGTAGTAACTTGTGGTCTCAGTATAGTAACTTGTGTCCTCAATATAGTAACTCATGGTCTCAATATATTAATTTGTGGCCTAAATATAGTAACTTGTGTCCTCAATATAGTAACTTGTGGCCTCAATATAGTAACTCATGGTCTCAATATATTAATTTGTGGCTTCAATATAGAACTTGTGTCCTCAATATAGTAACTTGTGGCCTCAATAAATTAATTTGTGTCCTCAATATAGAACTTGTGGCCTCAATATAGTAACTCATGGTCTCAATATATTAATTTGTGGGCTAAATATAGTAACTTGTGTCCTCAATATAGTAACTTGTGGTCTCAATATATTAATTTGTGGCCTAAATATAGAACTTGTGGCCTCAATATAGTAACTTGTGGTCTCAGTATATTAATTTATGGAATCCTATTTTAGCTTTAGGTTTATTTATTTATTTATGTATTTGTTTGTTTGTTTGTTTGTTTGACTAGAGCTACAGTTTTTTAAATTTGCTGTGAGAAAACAGAACCAACCTTTTTATGTCATAGGAAGGTGTGCAGAACTATTGGAGCCATTTGTTTTTTGTTTTGAGTGGGAAAATTTGAACATGAAGCTGGCAAATAAGAAGCTGACTTCAGCTTTGTGTAAGAAGGTCTAACGTTAATCTATTATGAATATCTACCCAGATTAATGCTATAACTTACCCAGCTACAAAGCATCAACCATCATTGTAAATAAATAACTACTACATAAAGTTAAGACCCTCTGAAAAGACTATTAAATGAAATAAGCTTCATATAAAACCAGAGGAAAAACAATCACATCAACAGGTTCTCTGTGCCTCATTAACCACACGGCCATATCTACACAAACATCACACAGACAATACACATCACACAGACATGAGTGTGGATCACTGCGTTCTCTCCGTTATATAATCCTGTCCCACTTTCTGAGTGTGATATTCCTGAAATAGTGTAATTTTGGACAGTATGTTTCTTAAACTGCCGCTCTGTAATGGTACTGAATGCTGTCCAGCAGCGATGTTGACCGCCACAAAATGGCGGCTCCATTGATGTGCCTGGCTGGACCCAAAGCAGCATCTAGGTATGTATATCTATGGTTGGGACGTGACAATGTTTAACAATGTTGAGTTGATTCCTTTATTTATTCACTTATTTATCACCGAAGAATAAAATGAGTGATAAGGTCTGTATGAGATCTACTCAGATGAGATCTGCTCTACACCAGTGAAAGGTCTTAATGTCTGTTTTGGTGCCGTGGTGCTCTGAGGCCGCTGTGATGCTCCACATGGCTTTTCTGACCTAATAAATAAATCAGGATGCATGTAGAGCTGCTGTAAAGGCAGCAGGAATTTCTACAGTATGGAGCTGGTTTTTCCATTATCAAATAAATTGATCCAACCAGATGGTTATTATATTACAAACGTCCTCCAAACAGTGCGACCTAGAACGGATGTTCCTGAGGTGTAGGCAGCAGGAAGGCTTCAACAAGCTGCATCTGACAGATATACAGACTGAACAAGAAAAAGTAATGTTTTCATTGCAATTTGATCATTTCTCATAAAATGAGAAGTTTCATAAGAAATGGTCAAACTGAGATGAGCACATTAATTTCTCTTAAAAATATGTAAAATAATAATAATAATAATAATAATAATAATAAATGTAACCCTGTTGGACCAAAGGGGGAAAATAGTATTAAGAAATTTGGGTGATGTAGCCAAACCCTCTGACTCATTCCCTTTTCAGATTTGAACTGAAGCCCTAAGAGCAGCTACAGTAAAGGGAAATTGAAATATTCCAGTGTAGGCATAAATGGTTTAAAAGCTCCAGAGAAAACATGCCTCCTAACAACCACCTGGAAGAGCTGGTCGACCCCAAAACTGCCCCCATCAGATAAACAGCACTTAAAGATTTCATCTCTGAGAGAGAGGAGAAAATCAAGCTGATCAGATCTGAAAACATCCACAGGTGTTTCTGTCCATCCTTCCACTGTGAGAAGACGACTCAGCGCTGTGGGTCTGAAAGGATGTGTAGCTGATCAAGAAGAACCTCACTGAGAAAAGGAGACGGACACATCAAACAAAGAAGCTGAACGATGGACTGACCACCCCAGAGTCCAGACCTCAACACCACTGAATGTGTTTGATTACTTCAGAAAATCATCAACCAGCTTCTAAGACTGAACTTCGGAGGGTTTTTTTCTCCTGATGCTGAAAAATGTAACACCTGACGTACTTAAGGTGTCACTCCCCTTTCCCATGCGACCAGATTAGCCGGCTCAGCGGCCTCCCCGATTGGCTGCGCAGTGACTTGGCACATCGCTCTGTTAATCCAATTGAGTTCTTATGGCCGACCTCTAAGAATAGGACAGATGAAGGGAAGACGTAGAATTGATGAGCTGCATGGTTTCTTGAATAAGACTGAAGAACCAGGCAATGAAGGAAACACACCGAGGCCTACAGAGCGACCCAGAGTAGAAGACCTGGCAACGCGGCCTTGTTTTTGAGGAATGCTGCTGTTAGAATGCAGGTGAGGCGAGCGCAGCAGTATGCTTGAGAGGATTAACGCTGAACCTCAGACTCTCAGGAGAACCCGCAGAGGAGAACCGCTCACTCGGATGTGAAAAGGTAATAACTTTTCCTCTGTAACCTCCTCTGAGACACGGCAGGGCCATAAGATCAGAGACTGTGAGGAGAATCTGTGACGCTGTAATAGATTTCAGTGCAGTTTTCCGGCAGACTTAATTATTAATTATTACTCAATAAATATGCGCATAATTACATAATTATGTTCATGAAATAAACTCACCTTTGATGTGTAACATTACCTCATTCTATCATTGGTGGCAAACACTGTCGGACAGCTTTGAAGCCATGGAAACGATTTCTTCTGCTTTTCCTTGTTCTATTCCTACATTGTGCCCAAAGTTTTAAAAAGTACAAGAAATTTGGCTACAGATTTTATTTCTGCTGTACAAAAATAGCTCACATGTGGCACCAGGCCACTTTGTGGCACTTTCTATACAACCAATATTTGAAAATTTTAATAACTTCTTTGTTTCGTATCTCTAACATTAATCAAAGTTGAAATTTTGGAAAAATTAAAAAAAAGTCCAAAAATGAACTCAGACAATAAATATATCTCTCGAAGATCTCACATGTATCCAGAAATAATTTGACCTGTTCTAAATCAGATCCATTTTTCAAGATTCCATCTCATGTAAGAACAGTTTTGGTATCTACCAGGTCTTCCAGGTGG